TATCGGCAGCTTTACTTGTCATTCTGTTATTGCAGATGCTACTATTGGGCGAGCGTTTGTCGCATCTGTGCGGCGGTAAAGTATCCGCTCTTATTCAAGGAGTAGTGCAGGAATTGGGAAGCATTAATGTCGCTATCATAGGCGTGGGAAACTGCGCCTCGTCTCTGGTGCAGGGCGTATCCAAGTACGCCGAGGCTAGCAATAATGAGGATATTCCGGGGCTGATGCACCCGGTGCTCGGTGAGTATGGGGTGGGCGACATTAACATTGTCGCCGCGTTCGATGTTGATTCGAGCAAGGTCGGGCTGGACCTTTCAGAGGCGATCTTCGCCAAGCCGAATAATACGGTGAAGTTCCAGGATGTGGAGCATGCGGGCATAACTGTGCAGCGCGGAATGACTCATGACGGCGTGGGCAAGTATATGTCCGACATAATTCAAAAGGCAGACGGGCCGACTGACGACATAACCGGCATCCTCAAGGAGCGCGAGGTCGATGTGGTCATCAACTACCTGCCCGTCGGCTCTGAGCAGGCGACGAAGTGGTATGTGGAGCAGGTGCTTGCCGCGGGATGCGGCTTCATCAACTGCATACCAGTATTCATTGCAAGCGGCGAGGGCGATTACTGGCAGCGTCGTTTTCGCGAGGCGGGATTGCCTATTATCGGCGACGACATCAAGTCACAGGTGGGCGCGACGATTATCCACCGCGTGCTTGCGCGTCTGTTTATGGACAGGGGAGTGCGGCTGGACAACACTTACCAGCTCAACTTCGGCGGCAACTCGGACTTCTTCAACATGCTGGAGCGCGAGCGGCTGTACAGCAAGAAAATCTCAAAGACGAACGCGGTTACATCGCAGGTTGACTATGACCTGCCGGACGACAATGTGCATGTGGGTCCCAGCGATTATGTGCCGTGGCTGAGCGACCGCAAGTGGGCGTACATACGGTTGGAGGGCACGAGCTTCGGGGACGTGCCGCTTAATGTGGAACTGAAGCTGGAAGTTCATGACAGCCCTAACTCTGCCGGCGTGGTGATTGACGCGATACGCTGCGCGAAGATCGCCAAGGACAGGGGGATAGGTGGGCCGGTGCTTGCGCCTTCGTCATACTTCATGAAGTCGCCGCCGGTGCAGTACACGGACGATGAGGCGCGGCAGATGTTGGAAGACTTCATCGTTGGCAAGGATTTTTCGATCCAGGAGTAATCTCGCCGCTGCAAGCAATGCTCATGCGCAGAGTGGTCACGACAGGGCAGGTGGAGAAGCCGGATAGGTAACACACGAACGAGGGGAGGGGGCTTTGCAGGCTTTGGAAGCTCACCGCAAGATAGCGCTCGTGTCTCCTTACGACCACGCCTTTCACGGTGGCGTAGCCGACCATATCAATAGCCTAGCCGCGCAGTTCCGGGAGTGGGGGCATACTGTCAAGATCGTCGCGCCGTGCAAGTCTGCGGATGATATCGACGATGACGACTTCATACCGATGGGCAGGGCCGTTCCCATTCCAAGCGGCGGCTCCATAGCGCGGGTCTCATTCTCCGTTTGGCTCAAGCCTCAGATAAAGCAGATGCTCGAGCGCGAGGTGTTCGATGTTGTGCATTTCCATGAGCCTTTCGCGGGTCTTATCAACAGGGATATGCTGAGCCTAGTAGATCCGATGCAGTCCACGGCGATCGGCACCTTTCATACATACGAGGGTACTCGGCTGTACAAGATCGGGGCAAAGCACCTGGCGATGCCGTACTTCAGGATGCTGCAAGGTCGGATCGCGGTGTCGCGCCCGGCATACCAGTTCATAAGCCGCCAATTCCCGGGCGAGTATGACATAATCCCCAATGGCATTCAGGTTGACGACTTCGCGCATGCCGAACCGTTTGAGCATCTGAAGAACGATGGGATGATAAATCTGCTATTTCTGGGCAGGATGGAGAAGCGCAAGGGCCTGAAGCACTTGCTAGCGGCGTACAGTAAACTGAAGTGGGACTGGCCGAATCTGCGCCTGCTGGTGGTCGGAGGCGGCAATCCGGATGCGGACTCGATGAGAATTATAAGCGAGCGCAACCTGCAGGATGTGGTGTTCCTGGGCAGGGTATCTGACGAAGACAAGTTCAGGTACTACAAGACGGCGGACATCTACTGCGCGCCCGCGACGGGCAAGGAGAGCTTCGGCATCGTGCTTCTGGAGGCTATGGCGGCGGGTGTTCCGATAGTCGCGAGCGCCATTGAGGGCTATTCGAGCGTCGTAAAGCACGGACGCGAGGGTCTGCTTGTGCCGCCAAAGGACGAGGACGCGCTGGCGGACGCGATTGCGGAGCTGCTGAAGGACGCTGCCCTGCGCCGAAGACTTGCCACCGCAGGAATGGTGCAGGTGCAGGACTATCGGTGGGAGCGCGTGGCGCAGCGCGTGATGGACTGCTACGATTCTTCGCGCGATGCGTGGCTCCAAGCCATTTCTCAACGTGTTGTCGGTTTGCAAGGATAGGCGGTCAGGATGAACAGGGCTTCAGCCCGCGAGATGCTTTCCACTTTCGTCGAACAGCCTGTGGCGGGCGTACTCGCCAAACTAGGGCGTGTCGCCGAATATGGTTACGCTTGCGGGGCTGGTGGGGGCTGCGATAAGCGCGTGGCTCATCAGCGAAGGGATGCTGTGGATCGGCGGCGTGGTGATGCTGTTCGCCGGCATATTGGACCTGTTCGATGGCGCGCTGGCGAGAAGCACCGGGCGGGATTCGCCGTTTGGCGCGCTGCTGGACTCGGTCGTCGATCGCGTGTCGGAAATCGTCGTGCTGCTGGGGCTGCTGATTTACTACGCGCGCGGCGACTCACTGGAGGGCACGGTGCTGGTGTACCTTGCTGTCGGTGGGTCGGTTATGGTGAGCTACCTGCGGGCGCGTTCCGAGGGGCTTGGGCATAGACTGCAAAGTAGGCATAATGACGCGGCCGGAGCGGGTGGCGGCGCTGGGGATTGGCTTGATTGTGGGGCACTGGGTGCCAGTGGTGATCCTCATTGTGCTGGGCGTGATTGCGGGGCTTACGACTCTGACGACGGTGCAGCGACTGATTCATACGGGGCGGGAGTTGGGCGAAGGCTAACATCGATGGACAGGATTTATTGTCCTGCTCACCCCCATCCCTTCGGCAAGCTCAGGGCAGGCTCTAACCTTCTCCCGTCAAGGGGGGAATGAATTTTTTTGCTGCATTGCATGGATGTCAGGCGTCTATGGGCGGCCTCTGAAAATCCCTCTAGGGGCGGATTTCGCCGGATACTCTGGTCAGGGCTGATCCGTAGAGGAATATGAGGCTGGCGATGTAGGCCCACATCAGCAGGACCACGAATGAAGCGATGGGCCCGTACACAATGCTGCGCTGGGTGACTAAGCCGGTGAACCAGAAGAAGGTCTGCTTCCCAATCTCGAACAGAACAACGGCTATGAGCGCTCCAAACGTGGCATCGCGCCATTCGATGCGCGTGTTCGGCATGTGATGATAGAAGACCGCAAAGACGAGGGCCGTGAGCGCTATGGGCACCAGGGTGGACAGGGTGCCGAACAGGATCGCAATGAGGTGGGAGATGCTCCAAGGAGATATGGCGAAGCCCTCGCTTATGCTGATCGCCGTATTGAAGAAAGCTGACAGGAGGAGTGAGAACAGGAAAAGGCTCCCCAAGAATGTGGCGAAAATGATTTCGGTAATTCTTGTCTGGATGATGCTTCTAGTCTCCATCCCGAATACTCTGTTCACTGCCCTGTTTGCGGCGCTGAACATTCCGTTCGCGCCCACCAGGATTCCAACGAGGGCGATTGCTCCGAATGCCAATGCGCCCCTGATAAGGCTTCGCAGGGCATCATTGATGAGCTCGGATGATGCGGGGAAGTAGTGGGTCAGGATTTCTGCGCTCCAGACGCGGATCACTTCCGGATTTCCGAGGACTGCGATGCCGATTATCAAGACTGCAATGAGCGGGAAGATCGACAGGATTGTGAAGTAGGCGAGCGATGCCGCGAGGTCAACTCCGCTGGCGTTGATGAGCAAAGGAACTGCCCTGAAAATCGCCCTAGCTCGCCAAGCTCCTGCGGTAGGCGACAACTCACTTGTCAGTTGCGTCTCAATATCGGGAAGACGTCGTCTGACACGAGGAGGCAGGTTGATGCTCGGCTGGGCAACCCGTTCCATCACGGCTTCCCGCACGCTGTCACCACAGGGCCTGTCGATGCGATATGCGGCTTCGACCACGCCTGTCGCAGCGGCAATAATCACCTCGTTGCCGATCTCGTAGCTTCGACATGCCTCAAGAAAAACAGCATCAATCGCGCTCACCGCCACGCTGGTTATCATGGGTACTGTCGGTTCTGACGCTGCTGCGCGCGCAATCAACAGTGTTGTCGCGTCTCGTGTTGCGGTCGCCACATCGCCACCTGTCGCGGCGACGCCGGAGACGACCCCTCGGATAGCTGATCTTGCCGCGTCGTCCAAATCGCCGCCGACCTCAGCAAAGCCCTCGACAGCGCCTTCGACCGCTGCCGCAACTGCCTCGGTGTCATCGAATCCGACCGACTCGGCGCCGACTATCGCGCCCGCTACTACATCCCTGCCTGCATCGTCGTCGTCCGACCTTAATCGCCCGCTGCCCTTGATTCCACCGGCAACTATGTCTCTGACGGCAGGCCCGGTGACCGTCATGACCTGCGCGGTGCCCTCTACGACGCCAATGACGGCGTCTCGGACGAATGCGCGTGTCTCGCCACCCATAGCGCCAAGCGCACTGACGGCGCCTTCAACGGCTTCGCGCGCGCCTGAGCCTGCTCTGCGTCCCATGGAGCGTGTTCCGCTGAGAGTCATGATAGAAGCAAAGCGCGCGACGGACCTCGTGGTCTGGCGTCGTCGGATGCGTCCGCTTCTGCTCAGCATTTCCCGCGCGCGGGCGACAATACGCTCTGTGGACTGCTCAGTGTTCATTTCCACCGGAGTCTGTCTGGAGTCTGTTTTATTCTGTCGGTCTGATTTATCCAAGCGATGAAACCATAATAGCAGATTTACGCGGCGGGGTTTCCGTCTGAATTCCGGTCTCTTCGGTCGCGCAGAAAGTGACAGCTTCGCCTGTATTTCGGCGTTGACGGGGTTGTTTCTGCAGTTGTTTCTATAGGTTCGCCACAGTCTCACCACGTCTCACCACGGTTGGTGGATGTGTCGTCAATATGATGGGAAGACCCTATAAATGGAATGGCAACGGGAATGGGCAAGTGGAATGGGTGTCGGTAGAATGTGGCGGCGCGCGTGCGATACAATGTGAGAGTTAATCCTGCTGGTAGTCGTGCTTGCCGTGACGCCAAATGCCAACCGCTAACTACCTGACGCCTAACGCCAATGCGTGTCGGCCGTTCTAGTAGCTGAGGCGACAGATATAAGTTACGGACAGGATGGGGTGAAGATTGAGATATTTTAGTGTTGCTGGTCTGCTCCTTATGGTCATGGTTGGGATGGCGGTCGTAGCGTCGCGAGCACAGGCGCAAGCGAACGCCGGTGATATCGAGCTCCTGTCTTCCAATGTTTCCGCGGAGTTTCAGAGGGTATTCTGTTTGAGGTGGAAGTGCGGTCAGAGACCGAATCGAGGAGATGGCAGTTCGCTTTCACATAGGGCAGCGTGATATCGGCGCTTATGAGTACCTCCAACCGGAAGAGCCGAGTAGTGGGGAGAGTGTGAAGGCGTCCGCCTTCTATCGCACGAATACGGCGGCGAGGTATATCGCGCCCGGCACCATCATCACTTACAGCTTCGAGGTAACGGACATCGACGGAAATCGTCTTGAAACGGAGAAGTCGGAGTTCATCTATCACGATGGGCGGTATGAGTGGGAGGAGATCAGCAATGGCATAGTCACTGTTTCTTTCCACGGTCCTGTGACCTTCCGCGCACAGGAAGTCCTGGATGCCATTGTGGAAACGTTGGGCATAATGGGGCCGCTTCTGGGCGCGGGTGTGGAAGAGCCGATTCGCGTTACGATGTACAACAACTGGCCTGAGATGCGTGCCGCGCTGCCTCCGGCGAGCGTGGTTTCCCGCAGAGAGCTGATTACGGAAGGGCAGGCGCATTCTCCGGAGGGTGTGCTGCTCGTATTGGGAGGCGCCCCGCGTGCCAGTGGAATCGCGGCGCACGAGGTTACGCACATACTTGTCCACAGGGCGGGCGAGGGCACGCTGGGAAGAGTGCCGAGCTGGTTGAACGAAGGTCTTGCGGAGTATGGAAATTTACAGCCCGGGGAGTCGTATGACCGAGCGCTTCAGTTCGCCATACGGACGGGCAATTTGATGCCCATCACTGCGATGGACGCCCAGCCCGGCGACCCACAAGATGTGATTATCTTCTACGGCCAGGCGCGCAGCATCGTGAATTTTATGGTGGAAGAGTATGGCGTGGAGAAGATGCGTGAGCTGATGGCGACCATAAAGAGCGGCAAGAACGTGCGCACTGCTGCTCCTCAAGTCTATGGCGTCACGCTGATAGAGTTGGAGAATCTGTGGCGAGACAGGCTAGGCGTGGAGCATCGCCGTTCTCCTGATGAGGCTTCGGCGCTCCCTACGCCTCTGCCGAGACCCGCGTTGACGCTCCTTTCAATCGACGCGCTGAGACAGCAGGGCGGCGGCGCGACTGCCGTTCCGGCTGCCGCAACTGCCGCTCCTGAGCCGACTGCTACACCAATACCGACCGTCACGCCTGAGCCAGTGGAAGAGGAGACGCCGCAGCCTACGGTAGCGCCGACGGTTGTACCCACGGCTGGGGCTGCCGCTCGTGCCGAGCAGGTGGCGGGTACGGCCGTTACCGCCCTAAGCGAGATGGAGACGGAGAGCGACGAGCAGCCGAATGGCGGGTCTTGCGGCCTTCCGACAGGCAGGGCAGGCGGAGTTGTTGAGATGTCGTCCATTGCGATGCTTGCCGGTCTAGCTTGGCTGTGGGTACGGCGGAGACGGCGTTAGCATTCGTGGGCCGGATGTAATACGATGTTCACCCCATCCTAGCCTCTTCTCATCGAGGTGAAGGCACAGAATGATGTGGAATGGTGGTAGGGAATGATTGAGAACGAAGGCGACTGGCTGCGGGCGATAGAGAAGACTTGGGTTGTGCGCTTTCCAAGGCAGAACCTTGCGACCTTTGGCGTGACCAACATCAGGTACTATGTTGTCACAGAGCCAATCTACCAGCCGATGGTGCCGGACCAGCGTGAGGGCGTGGTGCGGACGGGGCAGGTGGTTGCCGAGAAGCCAGCAGTCGTCACTCCGTACTACGCAGATGAACCTGGAAGGGTTCAGCGAGGGCGCTTACGAATACTTCCAGAACATCATGCAGAGGCACGGGCCGAACAGCCCTGGCATCCTCTACCAGTACAAGAATCAGTCCGAGGGGATGGACATACTGAAGGGCGCTCCCGAAGACATAGCGCATCGCATCAGCGACGATCTGGACGAGCGCAGGCAGGAGCTTGCGGTGGTGATGGTGAGCGTGGATGAGTACTGGGATGTGGCGCTGCTGAAGTTCATCTACGAGTTCACATCATCGTCGGCGAGCCAGAATGTGCAGGAGTTCAGGTCGAGCGGGCTGCTGGAGCCTCATCCGGGTATGAACGGCATCCCTCGCGCTGCTACGCGAGAGATTGAGCGGATGTTTGTGGAAATTGAGTCGGGGTCGCCTATAGGCAATCCTGACTTCCTGAAGCGTGAACTCGACCGTTGGGGGCTGTTCGACTTTTATGAGGACCGCTTTTTGTCGCTGTTCAGGCGCCGGCGACTGTAAGTGATGCTCGCGGGGAGAGTGGCTCTAGCGTGGCGCAGTGGAGATCCGCTCCGCGAAGCCTCTTAGTATTTCGACGGCGCCTTCGAGGCGAGCCACGCCGGTTTGCAGGGCAGCGATTTGGGTGCGTATGTCAGAGAATTCGGCGTGAATAGACTGACTTTCAACTCTGAGTTCAGCGCGTATTGCGGCCCTGTCTTCGTCCGCTCTGTCCATTCGCTGAGTGAGACGTTCTTCCATACGGTCCATGCGTCGGAACGTAAAGAGCATAATTCCGACCTGGATGCCGATGGTTGGGACGAGGATTGAGACGATTATGGTAAGAGTGTCTGACATAGCAGTATTTCCAATAGGGGAAATTATCTGCGATGACGAAGCATTAGTCAAGTACGGCATCGTAATAAAACCGGATTGGATTCCACACGGTGACCAGAATACTTACTCTGAGGCTAAGTTGAACTCTGACAGAGGAACGTGCCTGCGCTCGGCGGCGGAGCGGTATGCGGCGAGCACTATTGCCAGGTCTTTGATGCCTTCTTCGCCGTCCGTGAGCGGCGGGCGTTCCTGTTGGATGCACTCCCGGAACTCACGCACCATTTCGCGCGCGCCTCTGTGGGCTGCGGGCAAACGGACGGTGCGCCTGACCAGAGTATTCTCGAAGGTGATTTCGCTGCCGTATGGTTCGAATTCGATGTAACCTTGAGTGCCTGTGATGCCGACATAGTTGTACCCAGCATTTCTGGAAGTTGCGCGGGAGAAGTTGAAGACCGCCACCGCATCGTTAGGGAGGTTGGCGATCAGGACCAAGCCGTCTTCACCCTCGGAGCGGCGATGCACTTTCGTCGGGGTCGCGGCGTAAACCTGAGAGGGCATGCCTCCGAGGTTCATGATCAGGTCCACATAATGGATGCCTGCGTCGATGAATGAGCCGCCGCCGGTCAAGGAAGCGTCGTAGCGCCAAGGGGCGGTTGGAGGGCGAAATGCCTCGACCTTGATGTCGATGAGGCGCAGGTTCCCGATGCTGCCGAGGGTGCCTGTCGCGATCATGGACTTGGCACGTCTCGCGGTGTGCAGGAAGCGGAAGTTTTCGGCGACCATGAGCTTTACCCCGGCCTCTTCCGCAGTCCGCACAAGTTTCCGAGATTCTTCAATTGTTCGGGCATTGGCTTTTCCACGAGGATGTGCTTTCCGTGGCGGGCCGCAAGCTCGGTGTTTTCGAGGTGTACATGGTGGGGCGTGAAGAAGTATGCCGCCTGCACTCGTGCGTCTGATAGGGCTTCTTCGTAGCTGCCGAAGTAGTCCGCGCCGCCGAATCGCTCGCAGTATTCCCGCGCCTTCTCCAGGTCGCGGCTGGCGAAATAGAAGTCGAACTCGTCGGTCATATCGTGAATATCATTAAGGACTGCGTCGGCGTATCTGCCGCAGCCGACGATGCAGAGTGCAAGTTTCATTTTGATCTCCTAGTGCGAAGTAACCGCATTTGGGCGCTGCGTTACAATATACAAGGAAGTGAAAGCTATGGACAGGACGAACGGGATATGAGAATGGCGCTCAGGTGGGTGCTGGTGGCTGTGATCGGCGTGTCGTTGATTGCGCTGTCGTCGGATGCGCGTCACTTCAATCCGGCGCAGAGGGAGGGCGCCCCGTATCTGTACAACATTACGCTCTGGGAAGTGAACAACGCCCTGGATAAGTGGCAGTTCAAGGTTATGGGTATGCTGCGAGGCGACGGAGCGGCATCGTGGGAGCAGGATACGCGGGACTATTTTGAAGTCAACACTGAAATGGCGCATGTTCGTGGAAGGCTTAGGCATGCGGCGGCGCTAGACCTGCATGAAGAGACGGCGAGAATGCAGGCTCTGCTTGACGAGACCGAGGCGCAGGCAGATTCGCTTTTGGGCGGCGCTGAGGAGACTATTGAATCATATATCAGCGCGGTAGCAATTGAAGAAGGCCTGGGGGTGTTGGGAGACATGGTGTTCCCGCCGGTGGATGTTCGCCTGACGCAGCCGCCGACGCTGCTCATTGTTTCCCCACGAGAACGCATTGAGCGCAAGCATGACGCGCTGCTGCGCGCCGACGTGAAGCTGTCTGAGCGGGAAGCCGTGGAGTACAGGATTTTGCGGGAGGACAATCTCTCGGCTCTGGTGGAGGACATAGGCGGGCTTGCTACATATCCGGCGTCGGTGGCGAATGGTCATCCGATGCGCTGGACAGTGCAGGCTGCGGCGCATGAGTGGCTGCATCACTACTTTTTCTTCAAGCCGCTCGGACAGCATATATACGATGATGACGACATGTTTCAGTTGAACGAGACAATCGCGAATGTGGTGGGGAAGGAGATGGGCGGAAGGGCGTTTGAGATGATGTCCGAGGACTTTCTGGCTCAGCGTGAGACGTCCACCGGCGCACCCACCAATGGCGCTGATAGACTGCCGCCGTTCGATTTCGCGGCGGAGATGCGGGAGACGCGGTTGGCTGTGGACGAGATGCTGGAGGAAGGGCGAGTTGAGGACGCGGAGGCGTATATGGAAGAGCGCAGGCAGTTGTTCGTGGAGAACGGGTATGCATACGCAAGCTGAACCAGGCTTACTTCGCGTTTTACGGCACATATGCGGACTTGCCAGCAGCCGTCAGTCCGATAGGCGACCAGGTGAAGCGATTCCGCGAACTTGTGCCGGACCTTGGGAGATTTTGTCGGTGTGGTGTCGGGAGTTTCGAGCTACGATGAATTCGTGGGAACGCTGGCGGAGCTGGAGGACAAGGGCGGGGAGGAAGGACAAGCTGGGGAGGCTGAGAAATGATACGCTATCAAGGGAAATGTGATAACATCATATGTAAGCCAATTTCGATAGTGAAGTGATATGTACCAACAAGACGAACCAGAAGTAAATCTGGAACAGATTCTGGAAAAGATACGTTCCTTCAACCCGTTCAGGGGCAGGGGCGGTGGTGAAGGCGGTGGCCGCGGCAACGGCATCGCCTATTTCATACTGGGGCTGTTCGCCGTGGGCATCGTGTTCTGGCTGGGCACAGGAGTATATACTGTGCAGCCGGGCGAGGAAGCGGTGCTGCGGCAGGTGGGTCGGTATTACGACACGACGGGTCCGGGGTTGCACTGGTTCTGGCCGACGCCCATAGGCAAGCGCGATGTGGTGAACGTTGACGAGGTGCGACGGCTGGAAATCGGCGTGCGAGGTAGTGCGTCCATTCCGGACGAAGCGCATATGATAACCGGTGACCAGAATATCGTGGACGCGCAGCTGCTGGTGCAGTACAACATCAAGAGTTCGCAGGACTTTCTGTTCAGGGCGGTTGATCCCGGAGGACTTACGATAAAGGACGCCGCGGAGACTTCGCTGCGCCAAGTCGTCGGTCAGCGCGCAATCGACGATGTGCTGACGATTGAAAAGGAAGCTGTTCAGGAAGATACACGCCTGAAGCTCCAAGAGCTGCTCGATTTATATCAGACAGGCATACAGGTTACTGAGGTCAAGTTGCTGAATGTGCGCCCGCCGGAGCAGGTGCAGGACGCCTTTGACGATGTGGTTCGCGCCCGCGAGGACAAGGACCGCATTATCAACCTTGCCGACGCTTATAAGGAGTCGCAGCTACCTCTGGCAAGAGGTGAAGCAGCACGGCTCACCGAGGCGGCGGAGGCGTTCAGGGAGACGCGGGTGGCGCAGGCGACAGGTCAGGCTAACCGCTTCCTCGCGGTGCTGCAAGAGTACCGCAAGGCGCCGGATGTTACGCGCCAAAGGCTCTACCTTGAAGCGATGGAAGAGATTCTGCCGGGCGTTACCATGTTCGTCGTGGACGCGGACAATGGCGGCAATCTGTTGCAGCTTCTGCCTCTGAACGGTGCAGACAGTGGTACAACGCCGTTCAGCGTACCAACCCCGACATCCAACTAGTAATACTTAGCGTTTACGCAGGAACTGGACAAACAGGATGAAATTTCTCGCCGGCCTGGTGGTGCTCATAGCCATTATTGGGGCTATTGTGCTTCCACAGATTTTCTACATTGTGGATGAGACGCAGCTCGCCATAGTGACACGCTTCGGTGAGCCACGGGTTTCCATTACATCGCCGGGCCTGTATGTGAAGACACCCTTTGTTGAGACGGTGCGGTACTTCGAGAAGCGCATTCTCATATTTGACGCGCCGCCGGACTCGTTGCTGACCGAGGACAAGAAGCGTCTTGTTATCGATGTGTATGCGAGGGCGCGCATCGTTGATCCTCTGCTGTTCTTCAAGACGGTGAATTCGGAGGCTCAGGCGACATCACGGGCGATTGACATCATCGGGTCGGAGCTACGCCGGGAGATTGCTCTCGACACGCAGATAGAAGTTATTCTAGAGACGCGTGAGGGGATAATGAACCGCGTGCGCGACTCGGTAACGCCGAAGCTGCTGGATTTCGGCATTCAGACGGTTGATGTGCGTATCAAGCGTGCGGACTTCCCGGACACCATCGCGGACAGCGTGTATGCGAGGATGCAGGCAGAGCGCCAGCGCATAGCCGACCGCGAGCGCGCGGAGGGCTTTGAGCGTGACGCCGAGGTGCGCGCCAATGTTGACAGGCAGGCTGCCATCATCCGCGCGGAAGCGGAGAGGGACGCGCAAATTATACGCGGTGAGGGCGAGGCTGAGGCAGTGCGAATCTTCGCAGAGTCTCTTGGACAGGACCCTGAGTTTTATGCCTTCCAGCGTAGTCTTCAAGCGTATAAGGTTTTCCTGCCCGAAAACGGCACTACGTTTGTGCTTCCTGCTGATAGCTCGCTCTTCCAGTTCTTGCAGACTCCAGGCGGCATTGGGCAATTCGATGTGCCGCAGGTATCTGCTGAATCAACTGAATCAACCGGGTCCGAGGTGGCGCTTGAGCTGCTTGCAGCCAACTACCTCGCGGGCAAGCTCGACGTTGGAGCGAATGAGCTTACTCTTGTAAGGACTAACGCTACGGAGTGGTCGGACGCCAGCCTTGGCTGCCCCCGTCCGGACATGGCGTACCCTCAGGCTGTAACGCCCGGTTTCGAGATCACCTTCGAGCATGAAGGCGGGAACTACGCCGTGCATTCCAACGGCGACGCCTCGTATATGACGTCCTGCCAGTAGCCCATCAGGTTTCGGACTACATCTCTCTTTCTTCCCATGCGCGCACGCGCACGCCCTGATCTGTGAGTGAACAGCCGCGCAGAACTCCCTTTTTTCGTTGCTTGACGTCAACGCATTTGCGCTTGGCAGACGCTATAATGAACCCAATTGGCGCTAAGAGGTGTGTGATTGGGCCTGCCGAATAGGGATAGATTCACCGTTGCGATTCAGGTCTTCGATGAGTTTGAAGATGTGGTGCGCGCTTCGTGGCTTGAAGATGTCTGTCGCGCAGCGCAGCATCAGGAGCGCATCCATGATTGCATTCATGATCGCATCAAGGGGCACGTCAGCCTTGTGATTGCGGATGACGAGACGGTGCGCTCACTTAACGCCGAGTATCGTGGGCTTGATAAGACGACAGACGTGCTCTCTTTCGCATTCGACAACCAGGGGGAATACTACGGCGAGGGGGATGCGCCAACGGAATGGTCGGCAGACGATGGCTTTGTACTGCCACCGGGCGAGTCCGCCGGACTCGGCGAGGTGATAGTGTCGTACCCCCAGGCAGTGAGGCAAGCGCAGCAGGCAGGACATTCCATCGAACGCGAACTTGCTCACCTGATTACGCACGGGATACTGCATCTGATGGGGCATGACCACATGGATGATGACGAAGAGCGCGAGATGAACGCCAGGGAACGCAGCGTTGCGGAGCGGTTGGCGTTGTAGGACATCGACGCGCAGGATGTGTAGGGTTGGGCGTTATGCAATTGCCCTGACCCTAGCCCTCTTCCAGGGGGAGTGGGGATGATAGGTTAGCATGGCTGAGGTTTTTTACAGGAAGTGGCGGCCCAAGAGCCTGGGCGAGGTTGTCGGGCAGGAAGCCATAACCAAGACTCTGAAGCAGGCGGTGGCGCAAGGGCGCACCTCGCACGCATACCTGTTCTGCGGCACTCGCGGCACAGGCAAGACGAGCACTGCCCGCATACTGGCGAAGGCTATCAACTGCCTGTCGCCGAAGGACGGCGAGCCTGACAACGAGTGCCATATCTGCGTGGGCATCAACGAGGCGCGTGCGCTCGACCTGATAGAGATCGACGCGGCGAGCAATCGTGGCATAGATGACATTCGCGACTTGAGCGACAAGGTTCGCTTTTCGCCGAATGAGTCGCGCTACAAGATATACATCATCGACGAAGTCCACATGCTGACCGAACCTGCGTTCAACGCGCTGCTGAAGACGCTTGAAGAGCCGCCGGCGCATGCGGTGTTCATTCTGGCGACAACAGAGGCGCATAAGGTCCCGCTGACCATCATCTCGCGCTGCCAGCGATATGACTTCCGTCGAATACCCATCGACCAGATGGTGGCGAAGCTGGCTTACATAAGCGAGCAAGAAGGCATCGAGGTGTCGGATGAAGCGCTTCACCTCGTAGCCCGCCTCGCCAACGGCGGGCTACGCGATGCCGAGAACCTGCTGGAGCAGGTCGTGGTGTCGTACGGCTCGCCAATAAGCGAGGATGATGTGCGCCAGATGCTGGGGCTCGGCGGCGACGAAATTGCGCTGGAGCTGGTGAGGCACATAATCGGCAAGTCGGTCAAGGATGGCATCACGACCGTCAACAATGCTACCGAGCAGGGGACTGACCTGCGCCATCTGCTGCGCGGAACTCTTGAATACCTGCGCGCTCTGCTGCTGATCAAGACGGGCGCAGGGGCGAACTTCGGCTACTCCGACGAGATAATGAGTCGCCTGAACACTCTCGCCGCGGATGCGCCAATGGAGCATCTTGTCAGGGCGCTGAAGGTGTTCGCGGGAGTGAACATGCGGCGGGACGCGGCGTCAACTCTGCCGTTGGAACTTGCGGTGGTGGAGTCGGCGACTGAGCCGGAACCAGTGGTTGTTGCGGCAGCAACGCCAGCGTACGCACCGCCTCAACAGGTTTCTCCGCCACAGGCTGCGCCTCCGCGGAATCAGCCGCCCTCTCGACCTCCCGCACCACAGCCGACTTACCGCCAGCCACCGAGACAAGCCTATCGACAATCGGAGGAAGGGGCGGCGGCGAGTGGGTCAGCTCCTAGCGAGGCGCCGGGCGCTCGACCCGCGTCGGGCGGCGACCTGCCGGACGAACCTGCGGCAAGGCTTGCCCACCAGTGGAATATGATCGCCAACGATCTGAGATTCGTGGGGACACGACTGAAGTTGGGCGCGATGCTTCGCAGCGCAAAAGAGCGAGAAGTTTCGGGTCATACTATAATACTCAAGTATCCTTCCCGCTCGAACGTTGAGAGATTGCAGCAGGAATTGGATAATCCGGAAAGTAAGCGCGCGCTTGACGATGCGATTGCGAAGGCAATGGGGTCCCTGTTTCAGGTCGAAGTAGCGCTTTCTAACGGTGCGAACGGTGCGGGAATGAGACGCGCATCCCAATCCAGCCACCTCGTGCAGGCGGCGCAGGCGATGGGCGCAAGAGTCATCAGTGAGAGAGAGGAACAGCAACAATGATGAACCGAAAGATGATGCGACAGGCGCAGCAGCTTCAGAAGCAGATGATGAAGGTGCAGGAGGAGCTTGAGAGCGCGACTGTCGAGGCGAGCGTCGGCGGCGGCGTGGTGAAGGCGGTCGTGAGCGGCAAGATGAAGGTGGAGTCCATCACCATCGACCCGGATGTGGTCTCGGCAGAGGATGTCGATATGCTGCAGGACCTTGTGACTGCGGCGGTGAACGAAGGGCTGGACAAGGCGCAGCAGATGGCGACCGATAAGATGGGCGCGCTCACGGGCGGAATGAACCTGCCGGGGCTATTTTAGCCGTCAGGTATCAGCGGTCAGGTGTCAGGGGACGAGGGCTAACCGATGCAAAGGATGGGTAGGAGATGACGACTGATGGGGCGCCGGCAGCTGCGCCGGTGGCGCGGCTTGCGGACGAGTTCAGCAAACTGCCGGGAATTGGCCCGAAGACGGCTCAGCGACTGACATATTACCTGGTGCGGATGCCTGAGGAAGAGGCGCGCGCGCTTGCGGAGGCGATCGTCGCCGTCAAGGAGCGTATCGTGCTGTGCGGCGTGTGCTATAACATCACGGAGAGTGACCCGTGCGTGGTGTGCGCCAATCCGAGACGAGACCGCAACCGCATCTGCGTAGTGGAAGAGGCGCTGGATGTGCTTGCGTTGGAGCGCACGAACACATACAGAGGTATGTATCACGTGCTGCACGGGGTCATTTCGCCGATGAACGGCATCGGGCCGGATGACCTTCGCATACGGCCTCTGCTTGATAGGCTGCACGGCAGCGATATCGAAGAGGTGATACTCGCGACGAACCCGAACCTCGAAGGGGAAGCGACATCCATGTACATCCAGCAGCTCATCGCGCCTCTGGGAATACGCATCACGCGGCCCGCGCGCGGCCTGCCCGTGGGCGGCGACCTCGAATACGCGGACGAAGCTACGCTGGCGCGCGCGATCGAGGGGAGGCAGGAGTTCTGAGAGAATGACCCAGTATGAAAGTATCGAATGAAGACATAGGGTTAGCAGCGATAATTGTTGCAATTGCTTTTGCCGCCTTGTCGCTGGGTCTATTTTCAGATTGGAACCTAGGCAAAGCTGATAGCATCGTTGCTGTCGTTCAAGGGTTTGCAACGGTTGTGGCGATTGGGCTTGCCGGTCTGTTCGCATATCAGAACTGAATGTTTTCAGAACCTTCTATCCTCACCTGACTATTTCGCATGAGATTTCGCATAGGTTTGTTGGGGACAGCTATGTACACTTATCAGTAACCGCGATTTTGCAGAACAATTCGAATGTTAAAATAGATATTCAAGAGGCATTCTTCTGGTTGCAGCAGATAGCGCCATTACCGGATGAGGATGTTGAAGCCTACCGCGCAGAAGTGTTTGCAGAAAGGAAGTACGCAAGTATGCGGTGGCCAACTCTGGAAGAAGTGCATCTCAATTGGCATAGGAATGAGTTGATTGTAGAACCAGGAGGATCGCATCGTGAGACACTTGACTTTGTGGTGTTGAAGGAAGTGGAGACGGTTCGGGTGTACACATACTTTTACAACCCTAATTTTTCAGAGCAAAGCGGAAATTCGGAAGGCTGGCAGGCAATTACGGCTTATGACATACAAAACAGTGATTGACGATTATTCGTAATCAGGAAGGAGAATATCATGGCGCTGAAAGATAGGCGCAGGGGTGGTGTAGTCGTCAAGAAGGGAACCGGCCCGGAACCGGCTACGCCTAAGCCTTGGCCCGAGAATAAGCCTCCGGGTGGCAAACTTCCGTCAAAGCCTGAAAAGTCCGCGTAAATGAGGCGAGAGCCTTTGAACAGTTCTAATGTATTCTCTCTACCAAGAATTCACTATTTGCTGCCTAACTGAATCAGCCCTATGAGCCGACTTAGAGTATATCGCACTGAGGGCGTGGTTATCAGGCAGATGCCGCTGGGGGAGGCGGACCGCATTCTGACGCTGTGCTCTCCGGATATGGGTAAGGTGCGGGCTGTGGCGAAGGGTGTGCGGCGCACGAGGAGCAGGCTGGGCGGGCACCTTGAACTGCTGAACCGCGTGTCGGTGTCGGTTGCGATAGGCAGAAACCTCGATACGATTAGCGAGGCGTCCGCGATCAGCACATTCAGTGGCATCCGAGCCGACCTGCGGCGGATTTCTCGCGCTATGTATGTCGCTGAGCTGGTGGACTGCTTCTCGATGGAGGGCAACGGCAACCAGGCGATTACCATTTGCTGCTCAGTACACTGCTCTGGCTGGAGCGCGCTGCCAATCTCGATCTGCTGATGCGCTGGTTCGAGATGCGGCTGTTGGAGTGCTCCGGATACATGCCCGAACTTGTCAACTGCGTTGAATGCCGATCACTGCTGGAGCCTGACGACCACCTGTTTGCCTGCGATAGCGGCGGTGTGCTATGCCCGAACTGCCGCACGGCCTCTAATGAGCGCATTGATTCCTCTGCCGCTGAACACCATGAAGACGCTGCGCTTTATTCAGCGCGAGGCGAGGTTCGACAAGGTGGAGGCTCTGAATGTTCCGGCGCACATTCGACAGGACATGGAGCGGCTGATGCGAACCTACATACGGCACGTCGCCGAGCGTGAAGTCAGGAGCGCAGAGTTCGTGAACATGACAAGGAGCTAACGGGATAGACAGGATGGCTAGGATTATCACCCCCATCCTAACCTTCCCGCATCAAGGGGGAAGGGAATTTCAACTGAAGGGATAGGATGACGAATACCGGAACTTCTCTCAAGATACATAATGCGCGGTTCATCTTGACTGTGGACGCGGGACGGCGAATCATCAGGGACGGCTCGATTCTCGTTCGGGATGGGCGCATTGCCGAGGTTGGCAAGGCGACTGAAATGGAGTCCACACCTGCCGATCGCGTGATAGACGCGAGCGAGATGGTGATTACGCCTGGGATGCTGAACGGGCACGCGCATATCAGCTACGCGCATGCAACGCGGGGGATATTCCCGGATACTCTGGGGACCCGACTATCTGCCGAATGTATTCAGGCTTCAGGGCGAGACTGGACGAGAGGCGGAATACTGCGCCTCACTGCTGGCTATCGTGGAGATGCTGAAGGGCGGTACTACCTGTTTTATGGACCCCGGCAGCACGAAGTTCCTTGACGCATGCATGGATGCCTACGAGCAGTCGGGATGCCGCATCATCGTTGGGGACGCATGTGACGGACAGGCCCAATCCGGTGAATCTGCCGCAGTATGAGACGGCTGAAGCCATCGATATAATGGAGAAGACCATTCGAGACTATGACCACCGCCTCGACGACAGGGTGCGGGCATGGGCAATGCCATTCGATGCCTCGTACTCTACTGACGAGTTGCTGCGCGGCGCCAAGCGTCTTGCGGATGAGTACGGCACCGGGCTGACGCTGCACCAGATTAACGCTCAGCCGACTGTCGAGCGAAGTCTCAGAGAACACGGCATGCGCCCTGTCGAGTACCTGGACTCGCTGGGCATACTCGGCGAGAATGTGCTGCTGTCGCATGTGATTGGCGTTGACGATGCGGAGATGGATGTGATGGCGCGCACGGGCGCGACGACGGTGATGTGCCCGTCGCAGACGCTGAAGCAGGCGACCGGCATTACGCGCATAGGCAAGCTGCCGGAGCTGCTGGAGCGCGGGATAAGCGTGGGACTGGGCACGGACGCGCCGAACAACTCCAACCTTATGGAGACGATGCGGGCGATGTACCTTGTCGCGGTGATATACAAGGACGGGCGGCAGGACATGAGCATGATTCCGCCGGAGACCGCGCTGGAGCTTGCGACGATTGGCGGCGCGGCGGCATTTGGGCATGGCCGACGACATCGGCTCAATCGAGGTGGGCAAGAAGGCGGACATGGTGCTGTTCGACACGCGGCGACCGGAGTGGCGCACGCTGTTCAATCCCGTGAACAACCTTGTGTACAACGCGGACGGCAGGAGCGTTCACACGGTGCTGGTGGACGGCAGAGTGGTTATAGAAAACTACAAGCCGACTTTCGTGGACGAGTGGGATCTGATCCAGCGGCTGCAGTCCATTGGTGAGAAAGTGCTGGCGAAAACGGGTGTGTCGTTCCCGTCTCGCTGGCCAGTGGTGTAATCGTCGAAGGCTAACGAGGGTTCGTCTCTCGCCGAATATGTTACGACAATGCGATTATGCTGCGGTAATGCTAAGGTAATACTAGGTAAATATATTTAGTTGATGGAACTGGAGCAGATCAAATACTGGCTGGCGTTCAATAAAGTTCGCGGCATTGGCAGAGTGCGCTTCAAGCTGCTGGAGAACCACTTCGATTCAATGGAAGCGGCGTGGTCGGCGAGTGAAGCGGAACTGCGCGCAGCAGGCTTGGACAGGCGCACTATTCGCTCGGTCGCGGACGGCAGGCAGAAATTTGATCCTGATGCCGAGGCGGAACTGCTGCTCAAGAGCGGCGTCCGCGCCTTCACATGGCACGATGACGATTACCCTGCGCAGCTGAAGGAAATCTACGACCTTCCGCCGCTTATCTACGTGAAGGGCAACCTGACTCCCGATGATGAGCGCTCGGTTGCGGTGGTAGGAACTCGCAATCCCCTCGCACTACGGCCGGCAGGTTGCCGAGCATCTGGTCTATGATATTGCCAGCGCAGGTGTTACTATCGTTAGCGGTCTTGCGCGAGGCGTGGACAGTATAGCGCATCGGATTGCACTGGATGCCGGGCAGCGCACAATCGCAGTGCTGGGCAGTGGGCTGGACATTATCTACCCACGCGAGCATACTAGCCTTTCAGAACGGATTGCGGAGAACGGCGCGCTGGTATCCGAGCATACTCTTGGTACCAGGCCGGATGCGCGCAACTTTCCGCGCCGCAACAGGATTATGAGCGGCATGACGCTCGGAACGCTGGTCATTGAGGCGGGCGCTCGCAGCGGCGCGCTCATTACAGCCCGTCAGGCGTTGGAGGAGAATAGAGAAGTGTTCGCTGTGCCGGGAAGTATATTTTCGCCCAACAGCGAAGGCACGAACCGACTCATCAGGGAGTCGGCGGCAAAGTTGGTGACTGCATGCGAAGACGTTCTCGAGGAGCTGAATCTATCGGCGGTGGCGCAGCAAATTGAGATGGCTGCGCTGTTTCCTGAAGACGAGAACGAAGCCGAGTTGTTGCGATACATCACGTTCGATCCAGTTCATGTTGATGATGTATGTCGCAGTTCGGGCAGGTCTGCGCCCGATGTCAGCAGTACGCTGGCGATGATGGAACTTAAAGGACTGGTCAGGCAGGTCGGAGGCATGAACTATGTCAGATTGCGCGAAGTCTCCGGCGAATACTCAGTAAGCGCAGTGTGAGAAGAGGAACAATGGCGAAAGACCTTGTAGTAGTAGAATCACCCGCAAAAGCCCGCACAGTCGGGCGTTTCCTTGGAAGCAGATACGAGACTCTCGCGTCTATGGGGCATGTGCGCGACCTGTCCGACAAGAAGACAAAGGGCAAAGAAGGCGTCAACGGAGTGCGAAATAGACGATGAGGGCTTTCATCCCACTTACACCGTCATGGCGGACAAGAAGAAGATAATCACGCAGTTGCGCAAGGCTTCTAAAGATGCCGATGTGGTCTATCTGGCGACTGACCCTGACCGCGAAGGCGAGGCGATCTCGTGGCATCTGCTGGAAGCGGCGAACATCGCAAAATCCAAAGTAAAGCGCGTGGTGTTCCACGAAATCACAAGGGAAGCCATCAATGAGGCATTCGAGCACCCGCGTGAGCTTGACTATAACCTGATTGACGCCCAGCAGGCACGCCGCATACTGGACAGGCTGGTTGGCTACCGACTTAGCCCTGTGCTATGGGGCAAGGTAAAGCGTGGGCTGTCCGCCGGCCGCGTGCAGTCCGTAGCGCTGCGCCTCGTGGTTGACCGCGAGCGTGAGATCGGCGCCTTCGTGCCGGTGGAATACTGGAGCATCGAATCGACACTCGCGAAGAAGCTGCTGAACGGCAGCAAGCGCATCGACTTCAAGGCGGCGCTGCATTCCCTGAAGGGCAAGAAGAGGATAGAAATCTCGGACGGCGAGCGAGCCAGCGAGATTGTCACCGACTTAGAGGGCGCTGAGTACAGCGTGGTTTCCGTGCGGAGACGAGAGACGCGCCGCAGGCCCGCTGCACCGTTTATAACCTCGACGATGCAGCAGGAGGCATCGCGCAAGCTGCGCTTCACAGCGCGGCGCACTATGCAGGTGGCGCAGCAGTCTGTACGAGGGAATATCGATCGGCTCTGAGGGCGAAGTCGGGCTAATCACTTATATGCGCACGGACTCGACGAATGTTGCATCTACTGCCCTCAAAGAGGCGAGCGACTACATCAAGGACAAGTTCGGCGCCGAGTATGCGCCAGGATCGCCCCGCACTTATACTACGAAAGTAAAGGGCGCGCAGGAAGCGCACGAAGCGATACGTCCGACTTCTATACTCAGGGCGCCGGAGAACATTCGGCAGAACCTGAACGGCGAGCAGTTCAGGCTGTACGACCTTATATGGAAGCGCATGCTGGCGAGTCAGATGAACGACGCGCTGTTTCGATTCCACTCGCGTTGACATCAGCGCTAAGAGCGTGAAGTCAGACAACGAATACCTATTCCGAGCGACCGGCTCCGTGATGAAGTTCGCGGGCTTCCGCACAGTTTATATGGAAGGCTCGGACGACAATGCCGCCGCTGACGAGGACACGGCTCCGCTGCCGGACCTTGCGGACGGCGATGCTCTGAATTGCCTGAAAATCACGCCGGAGCAGCACTTCACGCAGCCGCCTCCGCGCTTCACGGACGCGACGCTTATCCGCACCCTTGAGGAACAAGGCATAGGCAGACCCAGCACCTACGCGCCGATAATCGCCACGATTATGGATAGGGACTATGTGCGCAAGGATAAGGCAGGTTCGTCCCCACTCAACTTGGGCTTGTGGTTACCGACTTCCTGACCCCTAACTTCCCCGATGTGATGAACATCGGCTTCACCGCAAAGATGGAGGAGCAGCTTGACGACATAGCGGACGGAGAACTGGAATGGGAGCCGATGCTCAAGGAGTTCTACAGGCCCTTCGACGAATCGATCGAGAAGACGATGAAGGAAGCGGAGCGAGTTCCCCGCGAGTCTCTTGAAGAGGAGACGGGCGAGTCCTGTGAGTTGTGCGGCAACCCGATGGTAATCAAGTCGGGTCGCTACGGACGCTTCATGGCGTGCAAAGGCTATCCCGAATGCAAGAACACCAAGCCGGTGGAGAGTCCTGAAGAGAAGGCGATACGCGAGCTTGTCAGCGAGGATGTGGACGAGTTCTGCGACAAGTGCGAGCGTCCTATGGCTGTGAAGACCGGACGCAATGGACGTTTTCTGGCCTGCACGGGGTATCCGGAGTGCAAGAATGCCAAGCCTCTACCGGTTGGTGTGGCTTGCCCGGACTGTGGCAATGATCTTGTGGAGCGCAAGCAGAAGGGGAAAAACGGCAGGACATTCTACAGCTGCTCGAACTATCCGGAGTGCAAGTTCGCGGCGAACCCGCTGCCGCAGCCTTGCCCGGATTGTGGCAAACTGCTGGTGACGCGCGGGCGCGGACGCAGGAATGCGCGCTGCCTTGATGAGGCTTGTGGGTTCACAGGGGCTACGCCGCAGGCAGAAGTCGAGGAAGCAGTGGCGTAGATGCGGGCACAGTTCGCAATATTCGACGCATACCACGCATACGATACACAGGATAAAAGAGACAAGGTAATGGCAAGGGGAGCGACCATGCAGGTTGCTCCCCTTGCTTCGCGTTTGCGCTTAGACGGGTTCCGTTGAGCGGGAAGCGGTGGACATGCGCGCGCGCGTCAGGCGGTGAGGTTGCGCAACTCTCTGATGGAAAGCAAGCCTTCTCTGGGCAGAAACACGATAGCGAACAGGATTGGCGGCAGGAATAGAACTGCGTGGAGCATGATAGCGAAGGCTATCGCGTCCTCGCGCCCGACTCCCCAGAGTGCGAGTATGGAGACGGCGGCGAATTCAAATGTGCCTATGGACATGGGCAGACCGGGCACAGTGCTGCTGAAGAATGTAATTGACATTGTAATGACAATCATCGCTGGCAGGCTTACCTGCAAGTCCGTCGCAAGCACTACCAACCAGCCCACTACACCTAGAAGTCCCGCCTGCACGAACGAAATTAGAAATGCCGCCAGAGCGAGGCTTTTCTGGCGTCTTAGCAGCATGACCGCAGATGCGAACTGCGACACGATCTGTATGTTTGACAGGATTCTAATGCGGCTGAGCAGCGGCCCCACGGCGAACAGCGCGACCAGGCTCGCAAAGCCGAAGACTACGCCGACGGCAATCCAGGGCAAGAACTGGCGCAACTGCGGGAGCAGCAGGGCACCCGCTCCGAGGACGAGCACCGTGGTCGCAAACTCGAATGTGCGCTGAAGTGCGATTGTGGCGAGTATTGTGCCAAGTCTGAGCTTGTCCCTTAGTGCGAGAATGCCGACCTGCACGACCTCGTCGAGGATCCGCACGGGGCTGAGCGTGTCGAGCGCTGTGCCCGTCTGCTCTATGAGGAACAGGCGGGTTGCGCCCGTGTTCTCGTTTTGAAGCAGGAGTTTCCAGCGCACTCCGCGCAGGTATGCCGCCACCGTGATGAGCACACAAGCGACCGCGATAAGCGTCATGTTCGCCGAGAATAGCGCGTCTCGCAGTTCGCTCCAATGCGCGTTCTTGATGACCAGCCAGCCGAGCAGCCCGCCCAACGCGGTCGCAAGCGCTAGGTAACCTATGAGTAGCAGCCTTACTTTGGAGGGGGACTTTCGCGCGTTGACCGTGTTTTCAGCAGTGTCGAGAAAGTTCATATACTGCCATTTTATACGAATTCTGTGCTACGTGGTTAAGCAATTTGCCGAAAGGGCAGCGGCAAGACGGTTACCTCGGCGAGGTGGTCCTGGATTATTTGCTCCTTTTCGCTGAGGCATGGCGCGCTCTTCAGGTGTTAAACTTGATGTGTGTCACACTGAATATTAGAGACGGGCTCGATCAAATCAGGAGCAGTGAGGCGATATGCGCGTAGGGATAATCGGCGCGGGCGCGGCGGGGCTTGCGGCCGCTTATGAGCTGGTAAAGCAGGGGCACTATGCCGCCGTGTATGAGCGCGCGCCATTCTTGGGCGGGCAGGCTTCGACTTTCGATGTGGGCGGCGCGCGGCTGGAGAAGGGGTATCATCACTGGTTCACAAGCGATACGGACATCGTGGAGCTAACCGAAGAGATCGGGCTTGGCGACCGCATACGTTGGATAGACTCAACGGTGGGGACGCTGGTTGACGGGAGAATATACGACTTTGTTACGCCGATTGACCTGCTGAAGTTCACTGCGATGAGCCTGCCGGACCGCATACGGCTGGGGCTGGCGACGCTGTACTTGCAGCGTCAGAAAGACTTTCGCAAGTATGAGGACATCACGGCGGACGAGTGGCTGCGCCGGCATGTGGGCAGGAGCGGGTACGACGTATTCTGGGGTCCGATGATGCGCGGCAAGTTCGGCGAAGAGCACTACCGCGATGTGGGCATGGCGTGGGTGTGGGGCAAGATTCAGACGCGGGTGAAGTCGCGCAGCAAGAGCATGATAAAGGAGAAGCTGGGGTATCCGATTGGAAGCTTCGGCGAAGTCTTCGATGTGCTGGCGGAGCGTGTGCGTGAAATGGGCGGCGAGGTGCATACGGGTGCGGCAGTGGAACGCGTGGAGGTTGTGGACAACCGAGCGTGTGGCTTGCACGTGGCTCTGGAAGGCGAGGACAGTCGGTTCCTGGAATTCGATGCGGTTCTGGCGACTACGCCATCCTATATTTTCCCGGCGCTTGTTCCGCCTATGCCGCAGGACTATCTGGCGAGACTGACGGATGTGAGCTACATGGCGGCGGTCCTCATCGTGCTGATACTCGACCGTCCTCTGACGGATGTGTATTGGCTGAATGTGTCTGACCGCTCTATACCGTTCGTGGCTGTCATCGAGCACACAAACCTGATTGAGCCGGAGCACTACGGCGGTAAGCACATCGTGTATCTGTCCAACTACCTGACGACCGACAGCCCGTTTTATCGAATGACGCATGAGGAGCTACTGGACGAATACCTGCCACACCTGCGGAAGATAAACTCGGAGTTTGACGCTTCCTGGATCGAGGAGAGCTACCATCACCGTGTTGGGGCAGCGCAGCCGATAATCGGTCCGCGCTACTCCGAGCGTATTCCGAGTCACAGGACGCCGTTCGAGGGGCTGTATCTGGCGAATACGACGCAGATATACCCGGAGGACAGAGGGACGAATTACAGTGTGCGGATGGGGCGTGAAGTGGCGGAGATGATAGTCGGCGACTCGATGGGTTAATGACGCTACGGCAGAGGTTTCCCCTCTGATGTCATTTTGCTAGCTGCCAAGCAAGAGCGCGACAACTGATGCAATGGCCGCCGCTGCGAGTATGCTGCCAAACATCATGCCTATCATCCATCTGACCAGGCGGGATTCCATGGCAGCCATTCGCTCGACCATTCGCGTTTCCAGTTCGGCGAGATCGGCCTTGGTAGCATAATAGCGGAGTTCTTCGCGAAGATCGGCTTTAGTCACATAGTCCCGCAAGGCATAGGCGAGCTCTTCACGCAACTCTGCTCTGGTGATTGGGCGCTCATCTCTCGGCGTTGGCGCAGGTGCGGGGTGTTCGGCTGTTGCCATCAAAGTCCTCTATTGGCTGATTTACTTTTACATTATAGGATAATTCATTTGCTGTCTAGTTTCTGGGCGCATAAGAGTAGTATATTCAGCGCCTAGGGCGGACGGTGAATGGTTGCGCTTGTGGGACTTGGCAAGTATCCTATAAGCGTTATTTGGGGGCGCATCGGCGCGCCAATTTTTGTGCAGCAAGGAGCCTCGTCCGTTGAGCGTGGAGAGCGAAAGTATCAGGGAGCGAATAAGAGCCGCCATCGGTTCGCAGACACAGTCTAACGTGAATGTGCTGTCTTCACTGCATGCGGTTCTGGACGATCTGGGGTATATTCCGCAGGAGGCTATCGAAGAGGTTGCCGACCAGATGGACACGACCATCAACGAGGTGTGGGGCGTCGCGTCCTTCTACACGAATTTCAGGTTTACGCCGCCCGGCGACAACATCGTGGAGATATGCTGGGGACCGACATGCCACCTGCTCGGCGCGCCTGACATCCTGGATGCGGTGCAAAAGGAGCTTGGGCTTGCCGACGAGGGCGAGACCGATGACAACCGAGTCAGCCTGAAATACAACACCTGCCTCGGAGCGTGCTCTCAGGCTCCGGTGATGATGGTGAATCATCGGCTCACAGGGCGCATCGATGTCGGAACGGCTGTGCGGCGCGTTGCGGGACTAGAAGCAGGTGGCGCACACTGACATCGACTTGTACAGGGACTTGTACAGGATGGAGCAGGGTTCACCCGAATAACTCTGGCTTAGCTCAGGACAGGCTCTAGCCTTCCCAACCATGAGGGAAGGGACGATGGAGAATCAGGATAGAGTATGCCCACTTACGAGGAACTAAAGGCGCAGGCGGAAAGCCGATGGCGGGAATTGACGAACGGCGAAAAGCCGTGGATACGCATTGGCACCGCTATGTGCGGGCATGCCGCGGGCGCGTTCGACGTTCGGGATGCCATTAGGAGCGAGCTGGAGCAGCAGGGCATAGACGCCAATCTGGACGATGTTGGCTGCCTGGGCATCTGCTACGCTGAACCGCTTGTGGATATATTGAAGCCCGGTGGTTCGCGCATATTTTCAACAATGTCACGCCCGACGATGTGCCGAACATAGTCAGGTCTGTGCTGGTTGAGAACAGGCTTCCAGCCTCGAATGTGCTTGGTTATCTCGGTAATGTGCAGGTCGAGGGCGCCGAGGATCTCAATAGGCTTCCGGGCATAAATATGCAGCAGAAGATTGCTCTGCGTAATGGCGGTCAACACGGCGCCAGCCGATGTGTTGCAGTACATCGCCAACGGCGGCTTTTCGGGGCTGTACAAGGCGCTGTTCGAGATGCAGCCTGATGAGGTCATCAAAGAGGTCATAGACTCCGGGCTGCGCGGCAGAGGCGGCGCGGCATTCCCCACAGGCGTGAAGTGGAGCTTCATGACCCGCTCAGAGCCGCCGAAGTACATCCTGTGCAACTGCGAAGAAGGCGACCCCGGCGCGTACAATGACAAGGGCATCCTGGAGAGCGACCCATACACACTGTTGGAAGGGATGTGCATCGCAGGATACGCGACTGGCGCGACGAATGGCTTCGTGTTCATACGCCACGGGCACGAGGGGCCAATCAGTCGCACTGAGCGGGCTATCCAGCAGGCATACGAGCACGGTCTGCTGGGCAACAACATCCTGGATTCCGACTTCACCTTCGACATTGAAGTTGCTCTGACCGGCGAATCTTATGTGGCGGGCGAAGAGACGGCGCTGATGGAAGCCATCGAAGGGCGCCGTTCGCAGCCGCGCTTCCGACCTCCGTTCCCCGCGGCATTTGGCGTCTGGGGCAAGCCGAGCACGATAAACAATGTGAAGAGCCTGTCTTACGCGCCTGAAATCATCTCCAATGGCGCAAGTTGGTTTTCATCCATTGGAGTCAACCGCAGCACCGGTACTGCAATCGTCTGCCTGAACGGGAAAGTGAACTATCCCGGATTGTATGAAGTGCCGATGGGTCTGACTCTGGGGCAGATCATCAATGACATTGGCGGCGGCGTGCCGAACGGCAAGAAGCTGAAGATGCTCCAAACGGGTGGGCCTCTAGGTGGAGTGCTGGGCGCGGACAGCTTGGGCGTACACATCGACTTCGATGAGATGCGCGAGGCCGGCGCGATTTTCGGCTCAGGCGGAATCATCGTCATCGACGAGGACACCTGCGCGGTGGACATCACGCGCAATCTGGTGGCGTTCACGCAGTATGAGTCGTGCGGGAAGTGCTTCCCCTGCAGGCTCGGCATGGAGCACCTGCTTGAGGTGGTTGACCGCATAGTGCGGTTCGAGAGCCGTCTCGAAGACCTCGACCTGTTGCGGAACATTGGCAGGACGATGGAGTCGAGTTCGCTATGCGGGCACGGGCAGTTGGGCTTTGGGCCTATACGCTCGGCATTGCAGCACTTCGAGTCTGACTTCGTATCGCATATCGAGCAAAAGCGCTGCCCGACGGGGAGTTGCCTGCGACCTGCGATAGCGCCGAAGAATACCCGACCCTACGCGATGGACGCGCTTCGCGGGTCAGCACAGCCCGCCCAAGCCCGCTGATTGCCCCATTGATTTGATGGGCGGCTGGAAGATCATGACCGCTCAGGGAATGAGATAGAACGAAGCCAGTGCCTGCAATCAAATCTATACACATCGCGCCTGTGAAATCCCTCGCCCTCATTGACGCCGATACCGTTCAAGTGGGTGTTCACGGCATCTCGGAAGACAGGCGTTTTCTGGTGAGGAGCCGGGAAGGCGTTCTCGTCACGCAGCGACAGATTGGGAAATTGGCGTTGGTCAGGGCTGACTACTGCGCTGCTTCGGACACTCTGAGGCTGGAGTTTCCTGATGAAACCTCGCTCAGCGGCAGCCCAGAGTTGGGCGATAAGTTAGAAACGAAAGTATTCAGGCGAACGGTGAGCGGCAATGCCGTAAAGGGCGGCTGGTCTGAGGCGCTGTCTGAGTTCTGCGGCGCTGAATTGACGCTGATAAAGTCTGACAGCGAGGGCGAATGCTTCGATGAATACCCGGTCTCCCTTTTGTCGCAGGCGTCTATTGAACACTTGGGCAATATGGCGCAAAATGGAAGTAGGCTAGAGTACGGCGGTTCAGGCCAAATCTTCTCCTGGACGGGTGTGATGCTCACGAAGAGGACACCTGGCTGGGCAAGGATGTGATGATTGGCAGCGACCTCCGGTTGCGAGTGGAGAAGCTGGATCCAAGGTGCGCGATTACGACGCTTAATCCTGACACGGGAGAGCGAGATCTGGATACACCGCGCCTGATACTGGGCTATCGGTCTGAAGTAAGCGGCAGTGGAGCGTGTTTTGGCATCTATGCGGCGGTTGTAACTCCCGGCGCTGTGTCGGTGGGCGACGAAGTGAGGGTTGCCGCTTGATACTGGCAAGCGTTGCCTGTTTATCTTAAACACATCGAACAATCGGAATATGACCACGGGAACGGAGACGGGTATGGCAGACGAAATCACCATTACAATCGATGGCGTTGATGTTACGACCACGCCGGACAAGATGGTCATTCAGGCGGCGTCCGACGCAGGGATTTACATTCCGTACCTGTGCTACTATCCCGGCATGAAGCCGTTCGGCGCTTGCCGCATGTGCGTGGTTACGGCAGAAGCGCCCGACCGCGAAGGCAACTACCGCCCGCTGCCGGGCAGTCCCGCTTCCTGCACGACGCCGGTGATGCCAGGGATGCGAGTAACGACCAACTCGGACGACATCGTGGAACTGCGGCGCGGCATCATGGACTGCTCATATCGGAGCATCCGCACGGCTGCCTGACCTGCCATCGCATCGAACTCTGCGGTCCTTCGGACAATTGTCTGCGACATGTGTCGGTGAACGACAGGTGCGTGACATGCCCGAAGAATGAACGCTGCGAACTCAAGGACACATGTGCGCTTCCTTGAAATGGACATGGAATCGCCGCTTTCGTACAACAACCGCAGCCTTCCGCTTGCCGTAAGTGACCCATACTGGGAAATGGACATGAACCTGTGCATCGTGTGCGCGCGCTGCGTGCGTGTGTGCGACGAGGTGCGCGGTGACAGCGCGCTGACGATGCTGGATCGGTCCGACCGTGTGCTGATCGGCACTTCACAGGGCACTTCCCTGCTGGAATCGGGCTGCGAGTTCTGCGGCGCGTGTATCGATGTATGTCCCACGGGCGCGCTTGTAGAGCGCAAGTACAAGTGGGACAAGGCGGTCGATACGGTGAAGAGTCATCTGCCCGCACTGCCCGGTGGGATGCCAGATGAACCTTGAAGTTGACAAGCGTAATCGCCTGATACGCCCGACGACAGATATTCATGCGCCGGCGAACCAGGGTCAGGTGTGCTTCAAGGGCAAGTTCGGGCTGGACTTCGTGAACAACACCCGGCGGCGACTGAAGAAGCCGCTGGTGAGGCACAGGGGCGAACTAGAAGAAGTTTCCTGGCCCGACGCGCTGGACGCCGCTGCGGAACGACTTGTCAGGCTCAGGGGCGATCAGTATGCCATAGTCGTTTCCCCGCGCGGCACGAATGAGGACAACTATGTTGCCCAGAAGTTCGCGCGCGCTGTGATGGGCAGCAATAATGTTGACATCTCATCGAACCTGCGCCCTGAGTTGACCGCGCCACTGCGGGAAATGCTTGGGCAGGCCGCTGCCACCAACCCCATCTGGGACCTGGAGCAAGCCAGCTCGATACTGGTCGTCGGCTCGAACATGACCGAGGAGCAGAACGTCATCGGCGTGCCCATCAAGAAAGCGGTGAAGGCAGGGCGCGAGTCTGGTGGTCATAGACCAGCGGGAGACTGAGTTGGCGCGCTACGCCAAGTCTGGCTGCGTCCGCTGCCGGGCAGCGAGACGGCGCTCATCGGCGGGATGCTGCGTGTAATTCTCGATGAAGCGCTGGGCGACCATGACTTTCAAAGGCATTCCTGCGATAACCTTGACGGGCTAAAGAACAGTCTGTGGGCGTTCGATATGATCAAGGTGGAGCGGGCGACCGGACTGGCGCAGACGGAGATTCGGGAGGCGGCGCGGCTGTTCGCTCGAAACAAGCCGGGCGCGATCCTTTACGCGCTTGAGACGCTTGCGCCCTCGCTGCGTGAGGATGCGTGCGTGCGCTGGTGAACCTTGCGCTCGTGACGGGTAATCTGGGCAAGCCGTCCACAGGGCTGTATCCGCTCTTCCTTGGCGCGAACGAACAAGGCTCAAAGGATGTGGGCTGCTCGCCCGAGTATCTGCCCGGCTATCGTGCCGTTGCGGACGACGAGGCGCGGGCGCGCATAGAGCAAGCCTGGAATGCGAAGCTGCCGACGGATGCGGGCGTAGGCATCGGGAGCTTACCGAGGCTATCGAGAGCGGGCGGATGAAGGCGCTGCACGTCATAGGAGACAGCGCGAATTTCACGAACGGCGAGCTTGGCGCGTTCGTAGAGGCCGCGGGCAAGCTGGAGTTCCTGCTCGTGCAGGACGTGTTCCCCAACGAACTGACGGAGATTGCGGATGTCGTGCTGCCCTCGATGACATTCGCGGACAGGGACGGCACATACACGAACATCGAACGGCGAGTGCAGCTTCTCAGGACCGCGCTCGGTCCCAAAGGCGACGAAGATGCGGATTGGCGCATTCTCTGCCAGATTGCCAGGCGCATAGGCGCAGAGGGCTTCGACTTCCCAGGCGCTGAGGCGGTATTCGACGAGTTCACCGCTCTGTCGGAGCCTTATGGGGGCATCACCTATCAGAGACTTCAGAGGGAAACGCTGCAATGGCCCTGTCCCGCTGCCGACATGCCCAGTACGCCCGTCCTGTACGCCGAATACCTGGAGAGCCACAAGATAGCCTTGTCGCCGATGACATTCGTCGAGCCGCCCGCTCACAGCGATGACGAGCGCCCGTTTGTGCTTGCGCGTGGGCGTGTGCTTAACCAGCCTGAGCGCCAACTAGGTATCCAGGAGGTCAGAGGGCGCAACCTGATCGAGCGCGACGACATCGTTGATGTGCATCCGGAGGACGCAACTGCGCTGGGCATCAGTGAGGGCGACGAGGTTCATGTGATGTATGAGGGCGGCGGATTCTACGCGAAGGCCGGACTGAGCGGGACGCAGCGCGGGATGCTGTCGGTCACCTCTCTGTTCGGACAGATGATAACGAATATCGAACGAGACCGCTCACCCGACCCGATGCTGAAAATCGACGGACTGCCGCTTGTGGCGGCGAGTATCGTCAAGGTTGCGGTGGGAGCGGCGGCCGACTGAAGTGCGCTAGAATGGATTTAGGGGATGGGAATGAATTTGCCCTCACCCTAACCCTCTCCCAGGGGGAGAGGGGACTTTCACCCCTTTAAAACCTTCCGCCATCAAAGGGGAAAGGGACAGACTAAAAAGGTAGTGGACTGGAGGATGTGTTCCGTTGACAACAGCAAGGAGGGCACGCTTAAGGCCGAGGCTGGCTGAGATAAATATACTGGAGCGGCGTGAGTTGACTGCGGACCACTGGCTGATGTGGATCGAGAAGCCGGAGGGCTTCACTTTCAAGCCCGGGCAATACTGCACCATAGGCGCCGAAGGGATAGAGCGAGCGTACTCCATCGCCTCCGCGCCGCACGAAGATCGCATCGAACTGTTCATCGAGCTCGTGCCTTATGAAGAGGGCGGGCATCTGACGCCCTTACTCTACGCACTTAATGTGGGCGACAAGCTGAGCATACGACCGCGGGCCAAGGGAATCTTCACCTTCAATCCGAACTTCAAGAACCATCTACTCGTCTCAACCGTTACCGGAGTCGTGCCGTACATCAGTTACCTCCGTGATTATCTGCACAAGGGCCTGCACCGGGACGAAAGTGGGCATCACTTCTATGTGCTGGAAGGCGCGAGCTACCACGACGAGTTCGGCTACGATGATGAGCTGACTCGCCTTGCGGCCGAACATCCCGATCTCGTCAGTTTCATCCCGACGGTGAGCCGCCCCAACGAAGCGCGCAACAATGGCTGGAAGGGCGAGACTGGGCGCGTGAACGCCATAGTGGAGGCGCAGGTAGAGCGGCTTGGTCTGAAGCAAGACGATACGCTCATATACGCTTGCGGGCATCCAGGGATGATCGAGGATGTGAAAGCGCGCCTGATTCCCAAAGGCTATGCGGTTGACGAGGAGCGCTTCTGGAAAGAGGACTAGCCAATGCGAGACGCACCGATTGTCCGAAAGATAAAGCTCACTTCGTATAAGCTCCCGCTGGAGAATCTGGCGACTGACCTCGCGTTTGCAGCAGGGGCATTCTATGAGCCGGGCAGTCGCAGCACTCGCAATCTTCTCGCTATCCAAATCTATACGGACATCGGCGTTACCGGCGAGTACATCAGCATCACGCCCGCCACGCGCGAGCAGATACAGATGATCGCGCCGTTCCTCATTGGCAAGAACGCTCTGGACCGCGAGTTGTTCTATCGTCAGGCGAAGATGATTCTTCGCAAGCACGACCGCATGGGCATTGGGCCCATCGACATCACGCTGTGGGACCTCGCGGGCAAGCTTTTCGATGCGCCGATTCACCAACTGCTGGGCGGCTATCGTGAGAAGTTGCCGTGCTACGCAAGCACATACCACGCAGACCGTTCGCCCGGTGGGCTGAGTTCGCCGGAAGCCTATGCGGAATTCGCCGAGCAGTGCCTTGAAATTGGGTACAAGGGCTTCAAGATTCATTCGTGGGCTGCCGCGCCTATCGAGCGTGAGATTGCCACGATAAATGCAGTCGGCAAGCGGGTGGGCGGCAAGATGGCGATGATGACCGATCCGTGCTGCGTCTATGACACCTATGGGGATGCGCTGCGTGTCGGACTTGCCTGCGACGACAACGGCTTCTTCTGGTATGAAGACCCAATGAATGACGGTGGTGTATCGCTTCAAGCTCACAAGCGGCTGCGGCAATCGCTGAAGACACCGCTGCTTCAGGGCGAGCACGTGCATATGGTCGAGGGGCATACGGACATGGCTGTGGCGGAGGCGACGGACTTCTGGCGCGCAGACCCCGAATACGACGGCGGCATCACGGGCGTGATGAAGATAGCGCATGCTGCTGAGGGCTTCGGAATGGATGTGGAATTGCACATCGCCGGGCCCGCGCAGCGGCATTGCATGGCTGCGATGCGCAACTCCAACTTCTACGAGATGGGTCTGGTACATCCGAAGCTGAGGACATGGATGCCGGTGTACAAGTGCGACTATGCGGACGGGCTGGAGGCTATCGACGCGGATGGCTGCGTTACGGTGCCGTCCGGTCCTGGACTTGGCGTGGAGTACGACTGGGAGGGGATCGCGAAGTACAAGGATGGCGAGATCGTCATCGAGTAGAGCACACGCTCATCCTTCTGTTCACTCTAGCCCGAAATCGGTGTGCTCATAGTTCGACTCGTGAACTGTTGATGCTGTGTAAGTACGCAGCTAATCATCCTTCAATTAACATCTGATACATCAATAGCAAACCGGGTATTGTGCTGCACAGAAAGGAAAAGACGAATGGTAGGATGTAAGTGAAAAGCAGGCAAAACAGTGCTATATGAATCGCCTGTACTTGTTCGCAATTGTTTCACCAGAAGCAATACTATCGCAGTTATCCATAGAGGAATGCCAACGGGCACAATTAGAATCCAGAGCATGCTCGAAGAGTCGAAGGCCAAAAGACCGATGAGAATTATTGCCAACCAAGCGACGAAAAGTATCACATAGTATGCGCGTATGGTGGAACTGGAAGTGGGCGTACCCTGCAATTTCCTAATCAGATAGATGCCCAGCCCGATGCTCAATATGGAATAGAGAGCACCTACGCGTGCATAAAACCTTGCGTCCAGCCCGCTACTTCTTGCGGAATTCGCGCATCTGCGGGAGATGTCGAGAGCGGTTAAGAATCCGGCGGCGTAAATGCCCAGCCAAGACATGCCGATCAACATGATGGCTAGACCGACAGGGAGATGCCACCACTCAAATTGGTACACAGTTGTTATGACAGACGCTAACATCAGTGCCTCTCACGGGTTGCCCAATGTAGAAGTTGTCTATGTTGTGTGGACATTTCCACTGAGTAAGTGTCTTAAGCCAAAAAAAGTAGGCTTATCATGTCATTCCGAACGCAGTGAGGAATCTCAAATCGTTGCCTGTAAATCCGTTTCCAACTTTAGATTTCTCGCTTTGCTCAAAATGACAATAATAATCGCAGCCAGCGACCAAATGTCCACAGAGCCTAGTTCAGATAAGGTCAGTGGACGATATTCTTCACCGAATGATTATACAACTCACTGGCGGTTATGGTCATAATTATAGCAATCGGGTAAAATATGCCGAAATAGCCGGAAATGCCCCTCGCAGTTATCGAGGGTATGCACAGGAGGAAGGCATCATGAAATCGGATCGGGCGCTTGTGGCGCACCTGATGCGGCGCGCGGGCTTCGGGGCGACGCCCGCGGAACTTGACGCGCTGACGAACGAAATGACCTACGAAGAGATCGTGGATGGGCTTGTCAATCCGGAGCGATTCCCTGAGATAGACGAGTCATTCATAGACCGCTACTACGGCGGCGAGCTGGTTGCCGTGCATGTGGGCAAGTGGCTGTATCGCATGGTGAACACGCAGCGCCCGCTCGAAGAGAAGATGGCGCTGTTCCTGCACCACATATTCCCGGTGGCATGGGGCAAGAGCGAGCATGGGCCCTCGCTGTACACCGAGATTGCGATGTTCCGCCGGGTCGGTCTTTCGGATATGAAGACGATACTGTTGGAACTGTCTCGTGATCCGGCGATGCTGTTCTGGCTGGACAACAACGAGAACCACAAGAACGAGATCAACGAGAACTACGGCAGGGAACTGCTTGAACTCTTCTCGATGGGCGTAGGCAACTACACCGAGGACGACATCAAGGCGGCTTCGAGGGCGTTCACGGGCTGGACTTTCAGGCAGCCATTGTCGCTGTACCCGAATGGGCATTATCCGGCTGAGTTCACGTTCATCGAAGACGACCATGACTTCAGCGAGAAGACTTTCCTCGGCGAGACGGGAAACTTCGATGGCGAGGATATCATAGACATCATCGTGAAGCATTCTGCTACGGCGCGCTTCATATCGCGCCACCTGTACAACTTCTTCGTTGAGGACGAAGTGCAGGTGCCCTCATGGGCGACGGAAGCGCCCAAGGACGAGGAAGCTATACAGCAATTGAGCAGAGTATTCCTCGATACGGGTGGAGACATGCGCGCGGTGATGAGCGAGTTGTTCAACTCGGACTTCTTCAAGAATGCTCGCGAGTTCAAGAAGGTGAAGAGCCCGACTGAACTGGTTGCGGGGGTTCTCAAGCAGACGGGCGAGTTCAACGAACCTAAGCCGGGCATATTCCAACTTGCGATGACCACGCTTAACGGTTCTCTGACTGAAGGGACGATGGCGATTATGGGTCAGCGTCTGATGAATCCGCCGACGGTGGAGGGCTGGCACACAGGGCATGAGTGGATTGATTCCGGCACGCTCAGCGAGCGCGTGGGCTTCGTGGAAAGCCAGTTCCAGGACATCACCAAGCCCGGTGTGTCCGACATGGTCCAGCGCGCAGGCGATCTGGACGCCGAGCCGTCCGAACTGGTTGATCGCTGCCTCGACATTCTTGGAGGAATCAGCGTGAGCGATCAGACCTATACATCACTGGTGGAATACGCAGGCGAACTACGCGAAATCAAGGACGAGGATAACGAGGTCGGCGTTCATAATCTGCTGCAGATGACGGCTTCGACCGTTGACTATCAGTTCGCATAGAGTTATCCGGCACAGCATAGTCTGAAATCAGAACAGGATGGGGGAGACAATGAGCACAAAGAGCAAGCAGAAGACGCTGGTAGTCGTGCAACTCACCGGCGGCAACGACTTCATGAACACGATTGTGCCGTACAACAACCCGCACTACTACGACTCGCGCAAGACGGTCGTGATGAAGCAGGACGAAGTGCTGCCCATCAACGACGAACTGGCGATCAACCCGAATGCCGCGCCCTTCAAGCGCCTCTACGACGAGGGCAAGATGGCGATCATTCAGGGGATCGGCTACCCGAACTCCAATCGCTCGCATTTCCGTGGGATGGACATCTGGCACACGGCAGAGCCTAACCGCGTTGGCAACGAGGGTTGGCTAGGGCAGGCTGTGCGCGAACTCGACCCAAAGCGGAGAATGTGCTGACAGGCGTGAACATCGGGATGGGCCTGCCGCGCGCGATGTCGGTTACAGGGGTGCCTGTTACCTCGATTGGCGACCTCGAAGGCTACGGCGTGATGACGCGCCTGGAGCAGGAGAGGCTGCGAGACAGGGCTCTCGAAGCGTTCAAGGGCTTGTACGGGCAGGCGCTCGGCACCGGCGCGGGTCGCTGAGTACATCGGCCAGACGGGGCTGGATGTGCTCAAGGGCGCGGATATGCTCGCGGATGTCGCAGACAACTACAGCTCCAATGTGGAGTACGCCGACAACCAGATTGCGAAGGGCTTGCGGGATGTGGCGCGGGTTCACCTCGCCGACCTGGGGACGCGCATCTTCTACACCTCGCACGGCGGCTACGATACGCACGCCAGCGAGATGCCCTCGCATCCGAAGCTGATGAACGACCTGTCAGGCGCAATATCGGACTTCCTGGATGATCTTGAAGAGCACCACGCCGGGGAAGACGTTACAATATTCGCGTTCACGGAGTTCGGACGACGGATGCGCGACAACGGCAGCGGCACCGACCATGGCTCCGGAGGCGGTGCATATATCTTCGGCAAGAATGTGAAGGGCGGGCTGTACAGCGAGTATCCCTCGCTCGACCCTGCGGAATGGGAACATCGAGAGGACCTCAAGCACACCATAGACTTCCGCAGCATCTATTCGACGCTGCTGGAGCAGGTGCTCGATGTGGAAGCCAGGCCCATAGTCAAAGGTGAGTATGAGCAGATTCGCCCGTTCGCCAACTAGGGCGTGTTCCCAACCGGCAAGGGCTTGTTAGTGATCAGGAGCAAGGTACTATGACGAGACCATGGGGACTATTGCGAGCGGGCTATCCATATCTTCGGACGCTTGGGATGCGGCGTGTTACGAACTTCCCTGCTGACATCGCCTTTCTCCAAGAACGGTGACGCGCTGATACTGATGCGCTCGGAAGGCGGGTCGAGCATACGGATATGGCCTATCGAGGACTCGGAGGCGTTGACAGACGATCTGAAGGGCATCGGAGGCTACGGCGCGGGCGAAGGGCAGTTCGTCTGGCCCGTGCAGATTATCACTGATGACGATGGCAATATATTCGTCAGCGACGAGGCAATGCACAAGATTTCGCGCTTCAATCCTGACGGCGAATTCGTCTCGCGCTGGGGCGCAAACGGCGACGGCGATGGCGAGTTCGACGCGCCAAACGGCATCGCATTCGACCTTGACGGCAATATGATGGTCGTCGATTCAAAGAATCACAGGGTGCAGCGATACACTCCGGACGGCGAGTATCTTGGCGGTTTTGGCTCACATGGCAGCGCGCCCGGGCAGTTCGATCTGCCTTGGGGCATCCATATGGACGAACTCGGCGATCTGTATGTGTCGGACTGGGGCAACAACCGCCTCCAGATATTCTCGTCCGATGGCGAAGTGAAGCAGGTGATCGGTGAAGCGGGCAGCGGGTTAGGTCAGTTCAACAGACCGACGGGTGTCGCTGTTGACGCTCACGGGGACATCTATGTCGCCGACTGGGGCAACGATCGTGTGAACATGTTCAACGCCGAAGGGCAGTACATCTGGAGCTTCTCCGGAGACGCCACGCTGTCACGCGTAGCGCGCACCTACATGCTGACTAATGCCGTTCCCAACAGGCTGCGCGAGATGGGCGACCTTGAGCAGGAAAAGCGCCTGCGCCGCCCGCGCTCCCGTCAGGATAGACAGCGAGTTCCGCCTGTTCATCCCGGACTACGAATCGTATCGTGTGCAAATATACCAGAAGGAAGCCATTGAGTTGGATCGCACACAGTACGCCGAGCCGCTGCGCAACGTTACGCTTGAAGTTACCTAGAGCGGCGATTCGCAATTCATTGAATTAGGAGTGGCAGGCGGTGTAACAACCGGCCTGCCATTCTAGTTTTCCTCATGGTCGATTGTATTTGCGCCATCACGCGCTTTAATATGATGCTCCGCATCGCTAAAATGTACCTATTGTGATAGGCGATAGCACCCAGTGAAGGGCGAATGACTACACCTGTACGGCGGCAGTATCTTGGCGTCAAGCGTGAGCATCAGGATGAGATTCTGCTGTTCCGCATGGGCGACTTCTACGAGACTTTCGATGATGACGCTCGGTTGCTTTCGCGCGAGCTTGAGATTGCGCTGACCTCACGCGAGTTCGGCAAAGGGCAGCGCGTGCCGCTTGCGGGCATTCCGTATCATTCTCTCGAGGCGAGTCTCGCGCGGCTCATCAAGAAGGGCTATAAGGTCGCCATCTGCGAGCAGGTCAGCGACCCCGCCACTTCCAAGGGCATCGTTGACCGCGAGGTCGTGCGTGTCGTTACGCCGGGCACTGTTATCGAGGATACGCTGCTAGAGCAGAAGGCGAACAACTATCTTGCCGCGCTGGTGGTTGAGGGCGATGCGGCAGGGCTGTCCTGGGTGGACATTACAACGAGTGAGTTCGCCACGACTCAGTTCGACCTGTCGCACCTTTCGGTCGAGATGGCGCGCCTTCAGCCGTCTGAATTGCTCGTGCCCGATGGTCAGCCGGATGTGGATGATTTGGATATTGGTGACCGCACGATGCTGACTCCGCTCGCGGCAGATGCGTTCCATGCGGATTGGGCGCGTGAGACCTTGCTGAGGCACTTCGGCGTGGCTTCGCTCGAGAGCTTCGGATGCGAGGGGCAGGCGCTTGCCGTGAGAGCCGCAGGCGCTGTCATAGACTATCTTGAACAGACGCAGCGGAGTGCGGTTGGGCAAATCAACACGCTGTACACCTACTCCACGGCGGACTACATGGTTCTGGACGCGCAGACCCGCCGCAACCTTGAGCTGTATGAAGGTGGAAGATGGGGTTCGGTGAACGCATCGCTGTTGTCGGTTCTTGATGTGACCAAGACATCGATGGGCGGGCGTCTGCTGCGCCGCTGGCTCGGACAGCCGCTGCTCGATGTGGAACGACTTGTGACGGCGTCAGGATGCGGTGGAGTGGTTTCATCGGAGCGCATTGAGGCGCGAGCGCGTGGTGATGCTGCTGGAAGCCGTGTCCGATATGGAACGACTGGTGAACAGAGTTCGCGGGCACAGCGCCACACCGCGCGACTTGGTGGGCCTCGCCAATAGCCTGGAAGCGGCACCTAAAATCAAGGTGATACTTTGCGAGGACGATGATGCGGACAAGGTGGAGTGGCTCGCCGAGCGAATCACGGACAACGGCGAGGTTATCGAATTGGTGAGGCAGTCAATATCGGACGACCCGCCGCTAAGCGTGGGCGACGGTAATGTGATTCGCAAAGGCTTCTCGCCCGACCTCGATGAAGTGCGCGGCGCATCGCGCAATGCCCAGGACTACATCGCCCGCTTGGAGCAGAAGGAGCGAGAACGCACCGGCATCAAGTCTCTCAAGGTGGGCTACAACAGGGTATTCGGCTACTACATCGAAATAAGCAACTCCAATCTCGCGCAAGCGCCCGAAGATTATGTACGCCGTCAGACACTTGTGGGTGGCGAGCGCTTCATCACGCCGGAGATGAAGGAGTACGAATCACTCATTCTGAACGCCCAGGACCGAATTGGCGAGATCGAAGGCGCGCTGTTCAGGCAGGTATGTCAGCAGGTCGCCGGCCATGCCGAGCAGATACTGAGTACGGCGCGCGCCATCGCCAACATAGATGTCTTCGCGTCTCTTGCAGAGGTAGCGTCGCGCTTCGGGTATGTGCGCCCAGTCCTGGACGAGGGCGATGCCGTGACGATAAAGCAGGGGCGGCATCCCGTAGTCGAGCGCATGCTGCCAGCCGGGGACTTCGTAGCCAATGATGCGGCGCTGGCAAGCGGTGGCGAGCAGCTCATCATCCTGACTGGACCCAACATGGCGGGCAAGTCAACATACATCCGTCAGGTGGCGGTCATAGTGCTGATGGCTCAGATTGGCAGCTTCGTTCCGGCGGATTCTGCGCGGGTTGGCGTCTGCGACAGGATATTCACTCGTGTAGGCTTGCAGGACGACCTCGCGATGGGGCAATCTACATTCATGGTTGAGATGGTAGAGACGGCGGCTATCCTGAACCATGCGACTCCGCGCTCGCTGATAGTGCTTGACGAGATCGGACGCGGTACCAGTACCTATGACGGGCTTGCAATTGCTCGTGCAGTGGCGGAGCATCTACACAATAATCCGAGGCTGGGCTGCAAGACGCTGTTCGCCACACACTACCATGAACTGACGCAGCTTGCTGACATTCTACCGCGCGCGTTCAACTACAATGTGGTCGTATCCGAGGACAAGGGGCAGGTTGTGTTCCTGCGCAACATCGCGCCCGGCGGGGCGGACCGAAGCTACGGCGTGCATGTGGCGCGACTGGCAGGCATGCCCGCCAGCGTGGTCAACCGCGCGTGGGATGTCCTCGCCGAGCTAGAGGACGACAGCCGCGTAAATCGCTCGTCACCGCGGCGCAGGAGAGGCAGTCCGCAACCCCAGCAGATGCCTCTGCTTACCTTTACATCCCCTGTAGTTGATGAATTGCTTGCCCTCGATGTCGCCTCGATGACTCCGCTGGACGCCATCAATAAGCTGTACGAGTTGCAGGAGCGGGCGCGCGAAGAATAGGCTAATGTATTACATCGCCTTTTGTCCCAATACTTATATTCTCGGTCAGGCTCGCTGCTGTCAGGCTTGTCCATTCAGATCACTTCTACGTTCAACCTGATCATCGGGTGCCGAATGCATTTCAGAGTAACAACATCGCAAAAAATAATACTATCTATCATACATATCTTATAGATAAAGAGGCCGAGGTGTATTATCGTGTCATATAACGAGAGTATTCATTGAAGTGATGTAGCGTAGCAACTTTAATTGCGAGTTATGAATATATAAGCTACGCAGAGAGTAATCCGTATTCGCTGCGGAGGAAGGACGGAACAAGCGAAATGGTAGAGTTCAAGGCATGTCCCCGGTGCACCGGAGACCTTAAGCTGACGAGGGACATGTATGGAGATTACAGAGAGTGTCTCCAGTGTGGTTACACTAAGGACATCCTCCCCGAGCCCAAGAAGAACTTTGACTGGGCAAAGACGCGCGGCAAGCCTGGTCGCAGGCGCAAGACGAAGGTTGCCGCATAGCACTGCTTTTACTGCCGCAGGGCGAAGAATAATCGAAAGATAACCCCGACTTCCTGCGGCACGCTTCCAACTGACATATCCCTAAGTGGCGCATGCAACTTCCAAGCATTCGCTCGATGGATAGGTTCCTCAAACATGCCTGGCGGCAACTTCACCGTATCGGCCTGTGCGCCTTTAACCCCGTGTCTGCATCTGGTAGGCTTGCCTGTAACGGCAAGTTTGCCTTTGCGCGTTGACGCTTGATCGCCCACTGTAACAGCAGGCTAGGTTTATGACGACCAAAGTTAAAGTGAGAGTGCCGGCTACAACCGCTAATATGGGGCCCGGTTTCGACTGCCTCGGTATGGCGCTGGACATCTGGAACACCGTTGTCGTGGAAATCGACGGCGTAGAGACCGCTGATGCGCAGTCGGACGCTGACATAGTTTCAGTCAGCGGCGAGGGCATGGGCAGTCTTCCGACGGGCAGCGGTAACCTCGTGTACAAGAGCTTCAGGCGCGTGTTTGACGGTATCGGCAAGCCTGTGCCGCCGGTGCGAATCAGCTGCGAGAATGAGATTCCTCTTGGCCGCGGACTAGGCAGCAGCGCTGCAGCAGTAGCAGGTGGTCTGCTGGCTGGCAGCACTTTCAGCGGCGCGAATCTGTCGCGCGAAAGGCTGCTGGAACTTGCGGCGGAGATAGAGGGGCATCCAGACAACGCAGCCGCAGTAGTTATGGGCGGCTGCCGCATCGTCGTGAGCGATGGGGACAGGTTCCTTACGGACGCAGTGTCCATTCCGAATGAACTGAAGGCGGTGCTGTTCGTACCCGACGTCCCGATGCCGACTAACGAGGCGAGGGGCATACTTTCCCCAACTGTTGACAGGCAGGACGCCGTGTTTAATATAGGCAGGACGGCTCTGCTCGTGAATGCCCTCTCAAGCGGCAACTTTGAGCATCTTGGCATTGCGACTGAGGATATGCTTCATCAACCCGCACGCCAGAAGATATTCTTTCCGATGAAGAACATCTTCCGCGCGGCAATGTCGGCAGGCGCTCTCGGCGTGTTCCTGTCAGGCGCGGGTTCAAGCGTGCTTGCGCTGGCGCGTGACCGCGAATACACCATCGGATACGAGATGGCGGACGCGGCAATGAAATCGGGTGTCGAAGGCGCAATCAAGGTTACGCAGCCCACGGCTCTGGGGGCGCATGTGGTTGGTCAGTAAATCGGCGGTTCAGTCTGTCAATGGAATTGGCTAGGGGGCTGATATGGTACAGGTCAAGCCGAAAGCGAAACTTACATACGATGACTACGCTAACTTGCCGGGCGATGAGCGTTATGAACTAATCGACGGGGAGTTGATTTTGGTTGCTTCACCTCGTGAGATTCATCAGAGAATTCTCAAGATACTATTCCGAATGATAGTAGCCGCAGAAGATAGTGGGTTGGGCTGGGTCTATTTTCGCGCCGCTTGATGTAGTTCTGACAGAGCATAATGTCGTGCAGCCGGACTTGCTGTTCATATCCAAGGATCGCCTGGACATAATCACGGCAGCGAATGTTCAGGGTGCGCCCGACTTGGTGGTCGAAATCCTTTCGCCATCCACTTCCAGACTTGATCGCTCTCGGAAGCGGGAATTATATGAGCGGCATCAGGTCAAGGAGATGTGGCTGGTGGATCCGGAAGATCGAAAAATATCGGTGTTGCTGCTGAAAGACGGCAAGCTGGATGTTGTGGGGGAATACAGTGAAGGACAGAGTTTCAGTTCGGCAACGCTTGGGGGACTGAGCATCGACTTGGACAAGGTTTTCCAGAGCGAAGTAGTTCGTTAGTCGGGCAGATAAGCCCGGCTGACTGAGAAGAAGAAATGCTAATCGTTCAGAAATACGGCGGAAGCTCACTGGCGGACGCCAAAAAGATTCACAGTGTCGCCCGGCGAATCGCGCGCAGCCGAGACGAGGGCAACAGTGTTATCGTCGTCGTGTCCGCTATGGGCGACACTACCGACGAGCTGATCGGGCTGGCGAACCAGATTTCGGAGCGCCCGGATGCTCGCGAGCTTGATGTTCTGCTCTCGACAGGCGAGCTCGTCTCATGCACACTGATGGCTATGGCTCTGCGCACGATGGGATACGCCTCAGTGAGCCTCAGCGGGGCGCAGGCCGGCATACGGACCGATTCAAGCTACGGCAGAGCGCGCATTGCCGGCGTATCGCCCGAACGCATCATCAGCGAGGTGGATAAGGGCAACATCGTCATCGTAGCGGGCTTTCAAGGCATCACAGAGGACCTGGACATCACCACACTGGGACGTGGCGGCTCCGACACCACCGCGGTCGCTATAGCGGCCGGCGTCGAAGCGGATCGCTGTGAGGTCTATACGGATGTGGACGGCATCTACACCGCCGATCCGCGACTCGTGCCAAAGGCGCGCAAGCTCGATGAGGTCGGCTTCGAAGAGATGCTGGAGCTTGCCAGCTACGGCGCGAAGATGAACCCGCGCTCTATCGAAATGGGAATGCACTACAACGTGCCTATACTCGTCGCGTCAAGTTTCACGGACGCCAAGGGCACTCTGATTCACGGAGACATCGAAATGAACAGCAATGTGGGCGAGATTCGCAATCGCGTAAGGGGCATCGCAACAGACACGAATGTGGCGAAGATTACGGTACTTGGCGTCATTGACAGGCCCGGCATAGCCGCCAGCCTGTTCGAACCGCTCGCAAATGCTGACATCAGCGTGGATGTCATCGTGCAGAACGCCAGCGTTGACGGCACTACCGATATGACTTTCACCGTTACCCGTACCGACCTAGCGCGCGCGCTTGAGGTCGTGGAACCTGTCGTAAAGGAACTTGGGAGCCGAGGCACGGTCAGCGACGAAGGCCTCGCCAAGCTGAGCATCGTCGGCTCCGGGATGCAGGACGCGCCCGGCTACGCCTCGCAGATGTTCCGCTCGCTTGCGAGTCGAGGCATCAATATCGATGCAATCACAACATCTGAGATTCGCATCACATGCCTCATCAGCGAATCGCAGATTGCCGAGGCAGCCTGCACTCTTCACGACGCCTTCCGTCTCGATATGCCCCTGGACATGCCCCAAGAGTAATATAATCATCGACTTACTGTGCGGTTACTGCCTTGAAACGCTCTGATAGCTCACTGACGGCATTTGAACGACTCTATGGCTGCTCCATACTTATCAGTAATCATTCCCGCCTACAACGAGTCGGCGCGGATAGTCTCCACTCTGGAGGCGGTATCAGTGTACCTTCAGAGGCAGGCATACTCTTGGGAGATCATCACCGTTGACGACGGCAGCGACGACGCCACTGCGAAGATTGTCGAACAGTGGTCGTGCGGGAGGGAAGAATTCAGGCTGGAGCGCATACGCCACGGCGGCAAAGGCGCGGCGGTCAGGCACGGAATGCTCGTGGCGACGGGGGAATACCGCTTCATGTGCGATGCGGACCTCGCCATGCCCATAAGCCACCTTTCCGATTTTCTCGGATGTATGTCGGAAGGGAACGATGTAGTCATTGGATCGCGCCAGATTGCGGGTGCGAATCGCTATGGTGAATCGCACTTCCGTCACCTGCTTGGTCGTGCGTTCAACAAGACGGTGCAGCTCATCGCGGTGAGAGGTTTTCAGGATACGCAGTGCGGTTTTCAAGTGTTTCAGCGCGAAGGCGGCGGAGTTGCTGTTTCCGATGCAGCGCACTTCTGGGTGGGGCTTCGATGTGGAACTGCTGTATCTGGCACAACAACGTGGCTTGCTAGTTCAGGAGATTCCAATCGAATGGCGGCACGACGCGGACAGCAGACTTAGCCCGGCGTCGGCAGGACTTCATATGCTTCGGGATGTGATGGCAGTACGCTGGCGCAGTCTTCGTGGAGAATACTCATCCACAGATTCGGGCGCAGATTCAGGCAATGTGCGCCTATCCGAATTTTCTGCCGGAAGAAGAGATGCACCGATCAGTGAGGAGAAGACCGCGTCAACAGCCGTCGTCGTGCCAACATACAACGAAGCCGAAAACCTGCCAATGCTGGCTGAGCGGCTTTTTTCGCTTGGCCTTCCCGATATGAGGATCATCGTTGTGGATGACAATTCACCGGACGGAACTGCGGATGTCGTCCGCAATCTCAGTGAACGGTATGATCATCGCCTCGATCTCATTGAGCGCCCAGAGAAGAACGGACTCGGCACGGCCTACAAAGAAGGTTTCAGGCGCGCCATCGAGCAGGGTGCCGACTATGTATTTCAGATGGACGCGGACCTCTCCCACGCGCCGGAGTACATACCGGAGTTTCTCATGGCGCTGGACAATGCGGACGTGGTCGTCGGATCTCGCTATACGGACGGTGGGGGCGTGGACAAGGAATGGCGATTTCGAAGGCACGCCCTTAGCGCGCTTGCGAACTTTGGCATTCGCGCCATCGTCGGGCTGACAGTTAAGGATTCAACCACCGGTTTCAAGGCATTCAGGGCCGAAGCGCTGGAGGCAATAGATTTCGATAAATTTCGCTGCAAAGGCTTTGGATTCCAGGCAGAGGTAGCCTTCGCCTGCCAGCGCAGAGGGCATCGTGTCGTGGAGTTCCCGATAACATTCTACGATCGCGCGAAAGGTGAATCCAAGCTGTCACTGGGCATAATCTTGGAGGCGCTGTGGCGTCTATTTCTTTTGCGCTGGCAAAAGAAGATGTCATGAGTCGTTGCGATGGCACAAGAAGATGACATGAATTGCTGAGTTTGTTAAAAACGAGGTCGTAAATACCTTTAATTCTTTTGTAATACTTATTCTAATACTCTTAATCGCCTACAAATGGAATTCAATGCAGCCACCGGGTTCATCAGAAAGAATCATTAACAATATTGAACGATAAGGCACACCAAAATGCAAACATTAACTGATAGAAATCGAGAGAAGGTTAGGCGCGACCGCGCCAAGAAGGCTGTTGCATTGGCAATGCACAGCCACTGGGACGAGGCGGCCCTTATGAACCGCGCCATCCTCAAGGACTTCCCAGATGATCTTGAGGCGCAGAACAGACTTGGCAAGGCGCTCAGTGAACTCGGGCGCAACCGAGAGGCTAGAAAAGCGTTCGAAAGGGCGCTGGAAATCTCGCCCCACAATGCCATTGCGCGCAAGAACTTTGACAGGCTTATGAGCATTGGGGATCAGGACGCGCCGCGCTCGCAAGGTAGAGTCGAGGCAGCGCCGAAGGTGTTCATCGAGGAGAGCGGCAAGTCGATCACGACATCGCTCGTAAGCCTCGCGCCTCCTAGCACGCTGCTAAAGCTCGCTCCCGGTCATCGGGTGAGTCTGGAGATCCAAAACAGTCGCGTGAAGCTGATTGACGCCAACGGCGTGGCTGTGGGCAGTCTTGAACCAAGGCTCACGGCTCGGCTGCTGCGCTTGGTACGCGGCGGCAACCAGTACGAAGCTGCGGTTACGAGCGCAGGCGCACAAGAACTCACGATAATCATACGCGAGACCTTCAAGCATCCCTCTCAGGCTGGCACAGTGTCGTTTCCGTCGCGCGCGGGCGCTGACTACCGAGTCTATATGCCCGGTGGCGTACTTGACTACGACGAGGACGAGCCGGATGTGAGCGGGATGGGCGGTCGTGTCATAAAGGACTGGTCGGACGACGACACGGAGCCGGGTGACGATGATGCCTTCTCTCCGGTCATACATCGCATCATCAACTCCAGTGGGGATGACGACGGCGACATACCGAACGACGACTACTAGGCGGAGGCGATAGCATCCTGCTGGATCGCGATAAGTTGCCTTATGCCGTCTTCGGCAGCCGAAAGCACATTATCGAGGGCGCCTCTTGAGTATGGGATGCCCTCTGCCGTGCCCTGCACTTCGACAAACTCGCCTTCCGCGGTCATTACGATGTTGAAGTCCGCATCCGCATCCGCGTCTTCCTCGTAGCACAAATCGAGCAGCACTTCGCCGTCCACAATGCCTACGCTCGTGGCGGCAATGGCTGACAGAATGGGTAGTTCCGGCAGCTGCTTCTCATCGACCAGCGCGGCTATTGCCAGATGCAATGCGACATAGCTCCCCGTGATAGCCGCCGTGCGTGTGCCCGCGTCCGCCTGCAGCACATCACAGTCCACCGTGAAAGTGCGCTCTCCGAGTTGCTCCAGGTCAACGGCGGCGCGCAACGACCTGCCTATAAGTCGCTGTATCTCCTGTGTGCGGCCTCGCGGAGTGCGTTCTCGCGGAGTCCGCGTCAGGGTGGAGCGTGGAAGCATCGCGTACTCTGCCGTTACCCAACCCTGCCCGGAGCCGCGCAGGAAGCGGGGCACATTGTCCTCGACGCTGACGGCGCACAGGACGCGCGTCATTCCCGTCTCTATCAGCACGCTGCCCTCCGGGAATGCCTGCACACCGCAGGTTATCTTTGTCGGACGCAGTTCGTCGTTTGCGCGCCCATCCGGTCTTGTCATCTGGGCTGCCCTCCCATGTTATTCAGCGGATGTAGGCTCTCACATTGCCATGCCAAGCGATGGCAGACCTCGGTTGAAGTTACTGTAAAGTTGTTGACATTGCAACGCGAATTGTCTTACAATCCTAACAAGCGAACATGTATTCGCAAAGATATAAGAAAAGTCCGGGTTAAGTTCAAGTGCAGAGGTAAGGCATGGTAGTTTTGAAGTCGGTTGACATCAGTGAACCTGTACTTAACGGTCATAACCGTAGCGGCGTGGACGCATCCCGCCAATTTAGTACGATTGAGCAATGTGCATCTCTACCCGAATTCCTGTCCATTGGACATGGCAGGACCTGCGATTGCAAGCCCAATAATCTTAACTGTCTCACGGCAAAGGAATGGCTGAAAAGCCAAGTGGGCGTCTGGCAATTCAACTACGAATCGTGGGATATTCGTAACAAGAACGCCCACCCTGCAACATTCCCAATTGCCTTGTCCAAGAAGGTCATCGAGCTATTTACACACGAAGGCGAATTGGTGATGGACCCGTTCGTTGGTAGTGGAACTACTCTGGTCGCCGCTGAAGATTCTAGTAGAAACTCAGTAGGATTTGACTTGAAAGAAGAGTACATTTCACTATCCGAAGAGCGTCTCACGCAAGAATCGTCAAGCAATGGGAGCGTGCGTTTAGCCGTTCAAGACGACGCTCGCAATATACCCCATTACTTGGAGCCGGAATCCGTAAGCCTGATATGGACTTCACCGCCGTACTCAAACCTTCTCAACAGAAAACGAAAGAACAAGTCAAGACGGAATCGCAAGAATGAACAACTAGGAAAGGTCGAGCAGTATTCGCAAGACCCGCGCGATCTTGGCACAATGCGCCTTGAAGAGTACACGAAGGCGATGGGGGACATCTTTGAAGGGCTGCTGCCACTTTTGCGCCCTAAAGCCCACTGTGTAATAAATGTTCCCGATATGTGGTGGGACAACACTAGAATAACCATTCATATTGCCTTGGTTGAGGAATTGAGAAGCAGAGGGTACGAACTGCGGAACACTATTATCTGGGATAGAACCAACATCGTTAATCGCATAGGCATATTCGGTTGGCCAAGCAATTACATCACCATGGGAACTACTTTCGAGTATCTGCTTGACTTCTGGAGGCCACCACAAGATGGTTGATCCTCGACAGCGAATGAGGGCCCTGATGCGTCGTGTACGCCAAGGACAGCCCTTGCCGACATCGGAGCAAATGGTGCGGGAGACCTTTGAGCGGCTGAACTATATCGAGTCCGAAGTAACGCCCGAAGAAGTCTTGGTGCACTTCAATGAATACTTGCGGAACTTGTGGGAACAAACTCTTGTAACCCTTGAGACCTATGAGGAACAAAGTTATGCAAGAGGCATCCCCCATGAATTCGTTAATGAGTTTCCCGAAGAGTTTGACAGAGCCGAGCAGGTTGCCTCAAGGCAGGGCTTTCGAGAAGGGGTTAAAGTTCTGTTTGATGATTTGTATCCGATGTTTCGCCGCGCTTTTCTGAGCGTTCAGCAAGGGCGCATGGCTCGTGGCGGCAAGGATTTTGAGCTGCAAATTGAGCGGCTGTTGACCCTTGCCGGAGTCCCGTTTCATAAGCAGGAGAGCGTGAATCATACAGACTTAATCTTACCCAGCTTGGAAACTCATAATCTCAATCGCACTATATCTGCTGTAGTTTCGGTGAAACGAACTTTGCGTGAGCGTTGGGCAGAAGTTGCCGAGGAACTCTTTAACTTGAGAGCGACGAACGTGTTCCTGTTTACGGCTGACGAAAACCCCACCAATACCCATGCTGAAAGGCTTGCGGACTACAACATCCATCTTGTCGTATGGGACGATGTGAAAACCCAAAAGTTCCCGGAGCGTCCTCTAGTGCTTGGCTACACGGAATGGGCTAATCGGCGTCTGGGCATGCTAAGTCAGCATTGGCAATAACGTGCTGTTCCAAGACATAGCCTATACAGTTCCGTGTTTCAGAATCCCCTTACTCCACTCCAGCCAGACTTTCGTGTCCACTTTGATGAACACAAAGCCCGCCTTGCCTGCGAAGAACTCGTCCACATCCGTGTCGCCGATATGGATGTATGATTCAGCTTTGAAGCGTGCCTTCACATCGTCAAGATTCTGCTTGAGCGCGGTAAATCGGTGACTACTTCGTGCTTCTGCCACATCGTCTGCTGGTAGCTGAGTGGACGATCAGAGCAGCTGCCGATGATGCAACCCTTTCGCTGCACGGCTCGCACGAAGTCCATCGTGATGCTGCCGCGCGGCTCGCCGAATTCGAGAGTGCCGTCTATGTCGAAGCTAATGAGGTCTGGCAAGTCTTTGTCCGAGGGCGAACAGGTGTGAACAGGAATGAGGGGAATTTCACCCCCCACCCTAGCCTTCCTCCATCAAGGGGGGAAGGAACCTTAAGCGTTAGTTGTTGCGGGTGGCGTACGCCTGCTGGGCACGGTCAATGGCCGCTACCCTGCCTCTTACAAGTTCATCCTGGCGCGCGGCTGCCCAGTCCTGAGATGCCTTTGTAGCGATTGCGCTGCCCTGGAAGTGGGGCATCACATAGCGGGCGAGCAGTTCGTAGCTGTGGAGCATGCGGTCGCGAGGCGCCCAGTCAATCGTCTGCACCATGAAGCCGCCGAAGCCGCCGCTAAGGTCGTCCAGCCTGTGGATTGCCTCGATGCAGTCGTCGGGCGTGCCGATAATCCATGCGCCGCTGTCCGCCATGTGGTCGATGACCTTGTCTATCGGACCTTCGAAGTCCGACTTGCGCCCGTTGGTGGCCTCGGTGTACTCGCGCAGGAAGTAACCGGCACCCATACGCGCTTCGTCACGCGCCTGCTGGCGTGTCTCCGCAAGATGGGTCGGAACGACGAGCCGCCAGTCGTTGCGGTCAACGGTCTGACCGTGCTCCGCCGCCGAATCCTCGGCAATCGTCCACAGGTCGTTGAGGTTGCCCCTATCGCTGCTTGTCGGGTCTCTCGGCACGGTGATGGTCAGCACCGCCGCGCCGTACTTGCCGGCGAGTGCGACACCGGACGGGGATTGTACGGATGCCACTGCAACTGGCATGTGCGGGCGCTGGAACGGGCGAATTTGAAGCATCGCATCTTTCAATTCGAACCAGTCAGATTTGTATGTAATCGGTTCGGTTTCCGTGAACAGGCGCAAAATGATGCCGAACGCCTCGTCCATCTTCTCGCGCTGAGTCGTTGCTTCGATGCCCATCATGTAGGCGTCACCCGGAAGCGCGCCCGGACCCACGCCGAACATCACACGCCCGTGGCTCATGTGGTCGATCTGCACCATGCGGTTGGCGACATTGAACGGGTGGTGATATGGGAGGCTGACGACGCCCGTGCCGAGCTTGATGTGCTTCGTGCGGTCGGCGGCGACTGCCATGAATATCTCAGGCGAGGATATGATCTCCCAGCCCGCGCTGTGGTGCTCGCCGATCCATGCCTCGTCAAAGCCGAGGTAGTCAAGCCACTGGATAAGCTCAAGATCGCGGTCAATGGCGAGAGTGGGATTCTCCCCTACGCGGTGGAATGGGCCGAGGAATATGCCGAACTTCATTCGGTCGGGCAGCGCCATAGCAGTATCCTTTCGTGCATTGTTGCATTGTTATTGTTGCTGGTCGTGAGTATGGGGCGAATTATAGTGGCAGAGCGGGGGAGTGGCAACACGGACGCTACTCGAACTCCGGCATCACCTCATCCGCGAACAGCCTCATCGCCGCGTTCACCTTGTCGCGCGGCATGCCGCCGAATGCGAAATTGCAGCCGAAATACTCGATGCCTTGCGCTTGCATCGCCTTTATCTTCTCCACGCACTGCTCCGGCGTGCCGATGATGGAACGATGCTCCGCCACGTGGTCAAAGGTTAGAGATGGGTTGCCGCGCGCCCTGCGCCAGTCTTCGATGCTGTTGCTCGCCTCGCTTGCGCCGTTGAGTGTCCCGCGCCATTGCAGCAGGTCGATAACCCAATTCAGCGATTTGTATGCGTCCTCGCGCGCCTGCTCCTCCGTCTCCGCGAGGTAACAGTAGCGGAAGAAAGGGATGTCGGCTGCGGTGACATTCTGCCCCGCCTCGGCTGACATCGCCTCATAGCGATGGCAAAGTTCAATCGCGGGTGCTGTGTCAACCGTCAAGCCAATCATCGTTGGGAAGCCGTTCTTCACAGCGAACTCCAGCGTCTCCGGCGTGCGCGTTGCAGCGACATAGATAGGCGGGTGCGGCTGCTGCACCGGCGGCGGCACGAGGTTCGCCTGATGAACGCTGTAATGGTTTCCCTCGTGCGTGTACTCCGGCGTAGTCCACATCCCCCGAATCATATTGACCGATTCCTGAAAGCTCGCCTGCGTGTCGCTGTGGTCAACGCCGTAGGGCGTGAACTCGCTCCTTGACGCGCCGCGTCCGAAGCCAACATCGAGCCGACCGTTGCTGATTAGGTCAAGCGTAGCCGTATCCTCGGCAAGCCGTATGGGATTATGAAGTGGCGGCACGAGCACAGCCGTTCCGAGCCGAATCTGCTGGTACGCGCCGCAATCGCGCTGGCGAACACGAGCGCCGATGAGCCGATCCCGTAGCGCGTGAAGTGGTGCTCCGCGAGCCACGCGCTATAAAAGCCAAGCTCCTCGCCGAGAATTATGTCCTCCGTCGTCTGCTCCACGACGCCGCGCGCGTCCGTATCCTCGGGCCAGGGGAGGTGAGTGATGAGAGCAAATTTCATAGCATACTCTTTCGTCGGGATGATTCTGGTTTGCGATGCGTCTTATTATAGACTAACCTGATGCGCCGGACAGGCAGTATGAGACTCGGCGGCTTTTGACGCGCTGGTGCGGCGACTCTTATAATTGAGGCTTAAAGCGACATCGCAAGAAACTCTGTGGATGTGAACAATGGCGAATGCGGTAGATGCCAAGACTCTGGACGAAAGCACTCTGCTAGAGATATACGGCAAGATGGTGCTCTCACGCACGCTGGACGAGCGCATCTGGATGCTGAATCGCCAGGGCAAGGCGGCTATCATGGCGTCCTCGCAAGGTCACGAGGCGGCGCAGATTGGCAGCGTGTACGCCCTGCGGCGCGGCACGGACCAGTTCTATATCTACTACCGCGACCTTGCCGTGATGCTGACACTGGGCATGACGCCGCGCGAAATCATGCTGGGCTTCACCGCGAAGGTGGGCGAGCCGCTGAGCGGCGCTAGGCAGTTTCCCACGCACGGCGCGTATCCTGAGCTTGGGCTCATCAACCTGTCGAATGTAATCGCCACTCAGTTGCCGCAGGCAGTAGGAGCGGCGCTCGCGATTCGGATGCGGCGCGAGGACGGGATTGTCATCGCTTACTTCGGCGACGGCGCATCGAGCTTCGGCGACACGCATGAGGCGATGAACTTCGCGGCAATACACCGCTTGCCCGTGATATTCATGTGCGAGAACAACAAGTACGCAACATCGGTGCCGCAGCATCGCCAGATGGCTGTGGACAGCGTGGCAAGCCGCGCGGAGGGCTACGGGATGCCCGGCATTTCGATTGACGGCTGCGATGTGATTGCGGTCTTTGAGGCGGTGTCGGAGGCAGCGTCCCGCGCGCGCAACGGCGGTGGCCCCACGCTCATCGAGGCGCAGGTAGAGCGCTACTTGCCGCACACCAGCGACGACGACGACACCCGCTATCGACCGCGCGAAGAAATCGAAGAGGCGCGGCTGCGCGATCCGCTCAAGCTCTTCGGAGAACGACTGATGGCAATGGGCATTCTCGACAACGCCGCCAGCGAGCACATCTATTCCGAGGCGCGCGCGGAAGTGAACGCAGTAACCGACTATCGTTGAAGCGGCGGAATACCCTGTGACCGATGACTTCTTTGAACATGTATATGCGATCTGATTGGCGCGTTTCGCCAAGTAAGAGAGCATAAACCCCTGTGGCAGTGATGAACGTACTCGAAGCGGTGCGCGAGGCGATGCGCGAAGAGATGGTGCGCGACGAGCGTGTCTTCGTGCTCGGCGAGGATGTCGGCTATTCGAGGCGGTGTATTCCTCGCAACTGACGGCTTCGTTGACCAGTTCGGCGAGGAGCGCGTGATTGACACCCCCATCGCCGAATCTTCCATCGCGGGCATGGCTTTGGGCGCCGCGATGAACGGCATGCGCCCGATCGCCGAAATACAGTTCGCAGACTTCATCTGGCCCGTGTTCAATCAGATTGTCGGAGAGGCGGCGCGGGCGCGCTACGGCAGCAACGGCAAGCTGAGCGTGCCCCTTGTGCTTCGCGCGCCCGAAGGCGGCGGCGTGCGTGGGGCGCTGTATCACTCGCAATCGGCGGAGGCGTACTTCTGCCACGCGCCGGGGCTGAAGGTGATCACCCCGTCCACGCCCTACGATGCAAAGGGCCTGCTTAAGAGCGCAATCCGCGACGACGACCCTGTGGTGTTCCTGGAGCACAAGCGCACATACAGGCTCGTGCGCGGCGAAGTTCCCGACGTCGAATACACGATTCCGATCGGCAAGGCGGATGTGAAGCGCGAGGGCGATGATGTGTCGGTGTTTACATACGGACTGATGGTGCATCACTGCCTCGAAGCGGCGCAGACGCTGCAGGGCGAGGGCATCAGCGTGGAAGTCGTTGACCTGCGAACCCTGCGCCCTCTGGATACGGAGGCCGTGCTGGAGTCGGCGATGAAAACGGGTAAGGCGCTGGTGGTACACGAGGACAACAAGGTAGGCGGCATCGGTGGCGAAGTCGCCGCCACAATTGCCGAGGACGCCTTCGAGTACCTCGACGCCCCCGTCAGGCGTCTAGCCGGTCCCGAAGTGCCCGCAATGCCCTTCAGTCCGCCCTTGGAGGCGCTGTATATGCTCGACTCGGACAAGATTGCGAATGCCATACGCAACTTGGCGGCGTATTAGTTAGGTGACGCTATGACTGGCAATGCCACGATAATAGAGCTGCCGCAGGTTGGCGAGTCTGTCACCGAGGGCACTATCGTCCAATGGCTAAAGGGCGTGGGCGACCGTGTGGACAGGTACGACCCGCTCGTTGAGGTGCTCACTGACAAGGTGAGCATGGAAGTGCCCTCGCCCGTCGCAGGTATCATAATCGAGCTTCTGGCTGAAGAGGGGCAGACGCTCCCAATGGGCGCACCTATCGCCTCGATACAGACGGAAGACGCCGTAGAATCTCCACCCCCGATCAACACTACACCTGCTGCTCCCGCCGAGGAACTGCAAAGCATCGACCGCACCGGCGTATTGCTGAAGGATGTGGCACCCGTCGGCCCGACAGGCAGCGGGAATGTGAGCGGAAATGTGATTGTCCCCGCCGCGCAGGATGCGACAGCGTCAGAACAAGCGGGTCGCGGCCGACAACGCAGACGTTACTCGCCCGCGGTGCAGCGACTCGCTGACGAACACGGCATCGACCTCTCGCAAGTACAGGGCACTGGAATCAGCGGGCGTATCACGCGCAAGGATGTGCTTGCATACACCGAAGCTCGGGCACAGTCCACAGTCCTTGAAGCGCCTGCCGCCTCTGTGTCTACGGTTTCGGCTGTATCGGTTACCGCAGACGAAGAGCGCCTGCCGCTGTCTCCCGTGCGCCGGCTGATCGCTGCAAACATGAAGCGCAGCGCATCCGAAATCCCCGCAGCTGGTCTATCACTGAGGTTGATGTGAGCGGACTTGTGCGGCGGCGCGAGGCGCTGAGAGACGACTTCCAGCGGCGAGAGGGCGTCAACCTCACATACTTGCACTTCGTAATAAAGGCTGTGGCAGAGTCGCTGCGAGAAAATCCCCTGCTCAATTCGTCCTGGGCAGATGACGCCATTATCCTGAAGAAGCGCATCAATGTAGGCATAGCGGTTGCCGCTCCTGACGGGCTCGTCGTGCCCGTGCTGCGCGATGCCGACACGCTCAGCGTCGCGGGCATCGCGGTGCGCGCCTCCGACCTGACTGCCCGCGCTCGGCAGGGCAAGCTTGCCATCGAAGATGTGCAAGGTGGCACCTTCACCCTGAACAACACGGGCGCGCTAGGGTTCAATCGCATCTCAGCCCATCATCAACCATCCGCAGGCGGCAATCCTCACGACGGAGGCAGTCGTGAAGCGCCCCGTCGTCATCGGCGACGCCATCGGCATCCGTTCCCTGATGAACATCTGCCTCACATTCGACCACCGCATCATGGACGGCGCGGAAGCCTCCGCATTCTCCAATGCTGTCAAGCGCCGCCTTGAGGCAATCTGCGATGACACAGGTATCTACTAGGCGCGCCGCCGCATGAGTACCTGTCTCGCCATCCCCTTGGGCTTACTAGACTACCAAGCCGCTTACGACTTGCAGCGTCGCCTGCACGCTCAGGTAGTAGCCGGCGAACTCCCTGATCTGCTGCTGCTGCTGGAGCATCCCCACGTCTATACGCTCGGACGCAGGGGACAGCAGTCGCACATCCTCGCCCCCGATGAATGCTCACACAACTCGGCGTTGAGACACACTTTACAGACAGGGGCGGCGAGACGACATACCACGGCCCCGGTCAGCTTGTCGGCTACCCCATCGTCAACTTGCGCCGTTGGGGTGGCGGCGTTCGCAAGTATGTAGAGACGCTGGAACAGGTTCTAATCGGCACGCTTTCTGAATTCGGTATCACCGCGCACAGCGAAGGCAAGCCCACAGGCGTCTGGGTCGAAGACGCGAAGATTGCAGCCATCGGCGTGCGCGTGAGCCGCAGCGTCACGATGCACGGCTTCGCGCTCAATGTCTGCCCCGACCTCTCGTTCTTCGACCACATCGTGCCCTGCGGCATGCCCGGCGCGCGCGTAACCTCTATGGCGCAAGAACTCGGTCAGGAGATCGCAGTGTCAGACGTGATACCCGCCATCTCACAGGCATTCGGCGGCGAGTTCGGAATCGACGTTGAGTGGAGCAATCTTGACGCCCTCGATAGCACAGTTGTCGCGCCTTCGCGTCTGATTGCGCCGCAAGTATGAGGACTGCCTAGAGGAACTGCCCCCTGAGCTTGGGGTCAAGATAATCCCGCAAGGCGTCGCCTATGAGCACGACCGCCAGCACCGTCAGCGTCAGGAATACGCCGGGGAAGAAGGATATCCAGAAGGCGACCTGCACATAGCCCTTCCCGGTCGCAACGATATTCCCCCATGTAGGTATGAACTCCGGCACCCCCGCTCCGAGGAAGCTCAGGCTCGCTTCAGCAAGAATCGCCGTGGCCAGCGTAAATGTCGCCTGCACGCAGCACGATCCCAATGGTGTTCGGCGCGATGTGCAGGAACAGTATGCGCCACACCGGAGCGCCGATTGCCCGCGCCGCCTCCACGAACTGCTCCTCGCGCAGACTCAGTACCTGACCCCTGACTAGGCGCACCTTGCTCGCCGTGCCCGTCACCGACAGCGCGATGATGACATTGTTGACGCTCCCGCCCAGCAGCGCTATGAGCGCCAGCGCGAGCAGTATCGTGGGAAAGGCGAGCAGCCCGTCTACGAAGCGCATCAAAATATGGTCCAGCAGTCGGAAATACCCTGCGAACAGCGCGATGACGAGTCCGAGCACCACGGATATGAAAGTTACGGCAAATCCCACATAGAGCGAAACCCTGCTCCCCGCTATCACCCTGTCGAACACATCCCTTCCGAATGCGTCGGTGCCGAACCAGTGCTCCGACGATGGGGGAAGCCTCAGATCGGTCGTGGTCTGCGTGTAGTCCGAGCGCACGATGATGGGGGAGAACACGGTCATCAGCAGTATCGCCGTCAGTATCACCACGCCAATCAACACATTGGGATTACTGCGCGTGATAATAATGAACGCGTCGAAGAAGCGGCGCGCACGCGCACCCGCGCTCGGCGCAAGCCTTATGGATGGCTGTTCCTGCTGCGTTGCCATTAGTAGCGAATCCTAGGATCGAGGTAGGCGTACCCGATGTCGATGACAAGATTTATCAGCACATAGGCGGTCGCCACTACCATCATCATCGCCTGAATTATGGGGAAGTCCCGCCTAATGATAGCCTCTATCAGCATTCTACCCAGTCCCGGTATAGCAAAGATAGACTCGGTTACCACGAAGCCTGTGGCGAGGCTTGCCAGCGATGCGCCTATGACCGTGACGACCGGTATGGACGCGGGCCGGAATGCGTGGCGCATGTACACCGCCATCTCGCGCAGCCCCTTTGCGCGCGCCGTCCTCACAAAGTCTTCACGAAGCACATCCAGCATCGCCGAGCGCGTGATTCTCGATATGAATGCCGACGACAGTATGCTGTTGACGGCAACCGGCAGGAACATGCTGTGGACGTGCGAGAAGAGTCCGTCACCAATGGGACGATATCCGAGCGCGGGGAACCACCCCAAGTTCACCGCAAAGACCCATATCAGGATGAACGCCAGCCAGAAGCCGGGCGCGGAAAAGCCCAGCACGGCGAAGAACATGAAGCCCCGATCTACGATCGTCCCCGCTTTCCACGCCGATATGACGCCTATCGATATGCCCAGCAATGTGGAAAGGAGTATCACTTGGACGCCCAGTGAAAGCGTCGGCTGTAAGCGAGGCGCCATCAGGGAGGTTATCGACTTCCTCGAGAATATGGAAGTGCCGAGGTCCCCTTGCGCTAGACGACCGACCCACCTGACGAACTGAACGTGTATCGGCTGGTCGGTGCCAAGCTCCGCGCGGATGCGCTCCAGTCTTCCACGGTGGCTTCGTCGCCGCCGATTATTGCAGCAGGATCGCCCGGAGCGATGTGGATGATGGAGAAAGTGATGACTCCGACAACGGCGATGACGGGTATGGCGGACAAGATGCGAACCAGTGTGTAGCGCCACATCCGCCTAGTCACGCTCCTTCGTCGAGTAGTCCTGACCGTTCAAGAGAGGAAAGCCTGTCTTCAGAAGCCTGTGTACGCAACGAGGGCAGGTTTTAAGCTGCCCCCGCCGCGTTAATTGCTGATCTGATTGATTTCGGTTAGTTGGTAAGCCACTTGTCGAACGGCTTCTGCTGCGCCGATCCACCGTTGACGATTCCCTGCACCTTGGTGCTCGCCGCCCAGCGGCTGAAGAACTCGCCAACTTGCAGGAATATGGCGTCCTCGTAGAAGTACTCGTGGAACTCGTTGTTCAGCGCAATCTGCTCTTCTTCAGTCGTGGCTCGCGCCAGGCGGGAGTAAATCTCTCGCTGCTTGCCGGGCAGGTCCTGGTAGTTGTTGAACCATGCGTCGTACTGAAGCTCGGAGAACAGCAGGTGTCCGACAGGACCTGACCTGACGGTCACGCCGCTCCAGGTGTGGAAGAACTCCCAGTCGTCCGGGCGCGCGCGCTGCGCAACCATCGTCGCCCAGTCCATTACCTGGAAGTCCACGTCGAAACCGAGCGCCGTAAGCACTTCGCGGCTGACCTGTGCGGCGGCGTGTGCCGGCTGCCTGTCTGCCGGGTCCATAAGGCGCACATGCGCCCCGGTTACGCCTGCCTCTTCAAGAAGCTGCTTTGCCTCTTCGAGGTTCTGCGCGTAGTAGTTGCCTTCCGAACCTGAAGTAGTCTCCCACTTCGTGCCGCACTGCAACAGTGAAGGGCACAGTCGCGTGAACGCAGGGTCGCCCGTCGCGAGCGTCAGCGCCTTCTGGTTGTCATAAGCCTTGATCATTGCTTGCCGTGCCAGCTTATTGTCGAACGGCGGGCGCACATGGTTGAAGTGCCCCAGCAGCCTGAACGGCGGGTTGTCGTACAGAGCGACTTCGGGGTCTGCTTCAAGCCTCGACAGCAGTTCCGCCGGGAACTCCTGAACTATGTGGACTTCGCGCGTCTGAAGAGCCGCCACGCGGGTGGTCTGGTCAGGAACCTCGATGTACATCATCCTGTCAACATAGGCGGTATGTCCGCCGATGTGCCGCTCGCGGGGCTGGATGCGGGCTGTAGTCCTCGTACCTCGTCGCGCTCCAGCGGTCGCCGGGCAGCCATTCCTCGAAGATGAATGGCCCAGTCCCGTTGGGAGGACCTTCCGCCGATTGGTTAGCAGTGTAGTTGTCGTACCAGTCGGCAGTTACGAGGCGGGGCCCGAAGCCCTGCGGACCTATGGCATCTATGACAAGTCCTGTTCCTTCTTTAAGGTTCAGGCTGAAGTGTAGGTCGTCTTCGACCGTCAGGAACTCTTCAAATTCGCCGTCGCCTGCTCCGAACTCATTGCGGACGAGCCTCAGTATTGGCGCTCGGTCCTTCTGGCGGTTCAGCGTTCCCTGCACCTGCTCGGTCGTCAGGGGAGTGCCGTCATGGAACTTGATGCCCTCTCGCAACTTGAATGTCCAGGACAGATTGTCGTCGCTGCTATCCCAGCTTTCGATCAGCAGGGGAGCGATTCCGTAGTCGCTCGTGTACTCGAAAAGTCCTTCGAGAATGGTGTTGGAAACGTTTCCGGTGCCCGATGCGGTCGTCCAAAGCGGGTCGAACGACTGGATGCTGCCAGCCGCCACTATGCGAAGGGTACCGCCGAACTGCGCTTCGTCAGCCGACATCATCATCGCGGGGCGCTGTGTCTGCGTCTGCGGCACGGGCGCGAGCTGCGGCGCCTGAGGCGTCGGCAGCGCTTGTACCATTGCGGGCGCCGCGGGTGCAGCCGGGGCTGGCGCGGCGGGAGCGGCAGGCATAGCAGGCGCTTGTGCTGGCGCTGCTGGCGCGACAGGAGCAGGTGCCGGCGCTTGCTGTGCGGCCGGCTGCTGTACTGGCGCGGCGCTGGAGCATGCTATTGCCCCGATTGCCATTATTGATGCCAGGGGTAATAGCCAGGATAATGCTTTCTTCTTGGGGAAAATCCCACATACGTGATACTCCTTATATCGTATCTTCTTGTTGAAAACCGTGTCTTATTGAAGTGGAAGTGCACTGTGACACTTCCATCGTGTCGTCATAATTATGAGGGCTTAGACATGGCTAGTCAATCAATACCCGCAATACCCGAATTACGAATCGACTAAGTGTCGCGCCGCATCAGGCTGAAGCTCTGCGAAGTTGGTCCCTTGTCCGGCTGAGTGGCGAGGAAAAGCGCAAGCGGCAAGACATCCTCCGACTCCTTAACCCACTCGCTGTCAATCGTGTTGACGCTGTTCTCTTCCTGCTCCCATGCGGCGATAGCACCGGGCGTCAGGACAGGCCCGGGCACGAGTTCGTTGACGCTGATTCCATACTCCCACAACTCTTGTGCTAGTACACGCGTCAGCATCCATGAGCCTGCTTTGGCGCATGCATAGGCGGAGGCACTGGGACGACCGTTGTGCCCGATGCCCGATCCGATGGTTATGATCTTGCCGCCGCCCCGCTCTTTAAGGTAAGGGATGGCGCTCTTCGACGTGTAGTATGCGCCCTTGAGGTTGAGGTCGATGGTCGCTGCCCATAGATCGGGGTCGCCGGCCTCGACCCTGCTGCGCTCAAGGTTGCCCCCGGCGTTTATGACCACAATGTCGATGCCACCGAACGCCCCTGCCGTCTCCCTGTTCATTCGCTCCACATCATCGAAGCTCGTTACATCAGTCTGCACGGCTATCGCCTTCCCGCCGCGACTCGCGATTTCCGCTGCGACTTCTTTCAGGTCGGAGGCCGTGCGCGCTGCGCAGCACACGGATGCCCCCTCTGACGCGAATCCTATGGCTATAGCGCGACCGATGCCCTTGCCCGCGCCCGTAATTACGGCGACTTTGCCCTCCAAACGGCGCTGTGATTCTGCCATATTGCACGCTACCTCCAGTTTATGGTTCCGTGTGATGAGAGGGATTATACGGGTGGCTGAAAATGATGTACAGAATGGCTTTACGGGCGAAAAAGGGGTTTGACACAAAGCACCTTGCTTCATATACTGACAGTCAAGAATAGGTATAAAACTTAACTGCCCATGGACTGGCTATAGCGTATAACTTGACGATGTAAACGGCCCAGTAAAACGAAAACGCACTTCGATGAGGAGGTAGAATAATGGCCCACAAAGATGATATTGCATTGATGGCGCACCTGATGCGGCGCGCGGGGTTCGGGGCAACTCGCGACCAGCTGGAATCTTACGTCGCGAAAGGTTACGAAGCGACCGTAGAAGAACTGCTGAATCCCGAGGCGCAGGAACCCGTGGACAGGCTCGAGCTTCTCCGCTATCACCCGTGGTCATGGAAGCCCGGCACCATTCAGGGCACCGGCCACGCCACGTGGCTGTATCACATGGTCAACACAAAGGCTCCACTGCAAGAAAAGATGTCGGTCTTCTGGCACGGCATCTTCGCCACCGGCGTCTCCAAAGTTGACCACTGGGACGAAATCCTTGACATGATTGACATGCTCCGCGAGAAGGGCATGGGCAGCTACAAGGATATTCTGATGGCGATTGCCCAGGATCCTGCGATGATCTATGGCTGGACAATAACGAGAACCACGCGGACGCGCCCAATGAGAACTGGGGTCGCGAGCTTCTCGAACTGTTCAGCATGGGAGTGGGCAACTACACCGAAGAGGACGTCTTCGAGTGCTCGCGCGCCTTTACGGGCTGGACGATTACTCCGAAACTGCCTCGTTTCCCGATGGGGCGCTTCGACTGGTATTTCGAGTTCCGCGAGGACGACCACGACGAGGACGAAAAGTCTTTCCTCGGCTACACCGGCAACTTCAACGGCGAAGACATCATCGACATCATCTGCAAGCAGCCCGCAACCTCACGCTTCATCGCGCGCCACCTGTACAACTTCTTCGTGGCGGATGAGGCGCAGGTTCCGGCATGGCAGCGCGTAGCCCCCGGCGACCCCGAAGCGATTCAGACGATCGCAGATGCATTCGTCGATTCCGAATACGACATGACCGCCGTGCTCCGCGTCCTGTTCAACTCCGACTTCTTCAAGGAAGCCCGCTTCTCCCGCATCAAGAGTCCGGTCGAGGTCGTGGTGAACACGCTCCGCTTCGTTGGCGGCCACGAGTTCCCCGCGCCCGGCATCGGCAACCTCGGCAGGCAGATGGGCTACATGGGACAGGAAGTGCTGAACCCGCCGAGCGTGGAAGGCTGGCACACCGGTCGCGAGTGGATCAACAGCGGCTCCCTGATGCGCCGCATCAACTTCGTCGCCGACCTCGTTGGCGACACTTCGCTCCCTGGCGTGCAGTCAATAGTCAGCAGGCTTCAGGAAGCGGGCGACATCTCGACAGGCGAGTTCGTAGATATCTGCCTCGACCTGATGGGTCCCCTGGACTTGGATGGCGCGACACGGCAGGAACTCATCGACCACGCCGAGATAGACGGCGACCTGAAGTGGGGCACCGATAAGGACACGGAGTTCTCCACGATGCGGGTCAGCGAGATGCTGCAGCTTATCGTATCGCTCAGGGACTACCAGTACGCATAGGCATATAGATATCGGACTACAGACTTGGCAGACTAGGGAGAAAAGAGATGACCACAGCGCAGAAAGACCCGGTCGTGGTGGTTGTGCAGCTTTCGGGCGGCAACGACTACCTGAATACGGTGATTCCGTATAACAACGAGATCTACTACGACAACCGCCCTACGGTTGGCATCCCGCAGGAGCAGGTGCTCCACCTCAACGACGAGGTCGGCCTGCACCCTCAGATGGGACCGATACGCGATATGTACGAACAGGGCAATGTCGCCATAGTCCACGCCGTCGGCTATGAGAACTCCATACGCTCTCACTTCCGTTCCATGGACATCTGGCATACCTGCGAGCCGGACGATGTAGGCACCGAGGGGTGGCTCGGCAAGGTTATCCGCGAAATAGACCCGCACAAAGAGAACGTGGTCACTGGCGTCAGCTTCGGCCCCAGCATGTTCCGCGCAATGGCCGTTCCTGGGGTGCCTGTCGCATGCGTCGAGGACCTGAACAACTACGGCCTGATGCCCGGTATCAGCGCCGAAGAGCAGCGCCAGAAGATTCTGAACAGGTTCTCACGGCTCTACGGTCAGGCAATTGGCAGAGGCCCCGTCATGGAGTTCCTCGGCCAGACTGGCCTGGACGCGCTACAGGGTGCGGATATCCTGAAGCTCGCGCCGGAACGCTACTCCTCTGGCATCGAGTACGCTGACACGACGCTGGCGAAGAAGCTCAAAGGCATTGCGCAGGTGCATATGGCAGGGCTAGGGTCGCGCGTGTTCTACTGCGACCACGGCAGCTTCGATTCACACGCAGGCCAGCCCAACATGCTTGCCGGTCTGTGGGACGACCTCTCCACCGCCATCAACGACTTCTTCGACGACCTGCGGGCGCACGACGCATCCGACAATGTCGTGATGTTGCTCTTCTCCGAGTTCGGACGGCGCACCCACGACAACGGCTCCGGCACGGACCACGGCGCGGCGGGCGCGGTTATGGTCATCGGAGACAATGTTAATGGCGGTCAGTACGGAGAGTACCCATCGCTCCGAGCCGAAGACCTCGAGCAGGGCGACGTGGTGCCTGGTGTTGATTTCCGCAGCGTCTATTCCACGCTCGTCGAGGACTGGATGAAGATGGATGCCAAGTCCATCGTGGGCGGCGACTTCGAGAAGCTCGGCTTCATCGCCAACGGAAACTAGGACGTGTTGGCATTTCCGTCATTCCTGCGAAAGCAGGAATCCAGATGGGATTAGGCAGGGCTGTCTTAAGCCGACGCCTGGCCAATACTAGGAAAGAGGACAAAATATGCTGACAACAGTATCAAAGGGACGTACTTACGACTTCAGCCATGCGGTGGGCGGGCTGTATATGCCCCAGCCCATCGGCGTCGTCGCCGGAGAGGGCGACATGGTGTATGTGCTGAGCCGCCAGTACGAGCAGATTCTGGACGTGCCGTGGAACAAGACCGGCACTTCAGCGCAGGTGAATCGCTTCACCGTGACCGAAACTGCCGGAGACGAGGAGTTCCTGGGGCGCTTCAGTAAGTACGGTGATTCTGAGGGCGAGCTTATCTGGCCGAGCGGAATCGCGCTCGACTCGGAAGAGAACTTGTATGTCGTCGACGAGTGGATGAACAGGGTATCCATCTTCAACAAAGAGGGCGAACTGCTCAAGGTTTGGGGATCAGGAGGCAGCGGAGACGGCGAACTAAACAAGCCGTCCGGCATCGCGCTTGACTCCGGCGGAGTCGTTGTCGTCGTTGACAGCCTGAATCACCGAGTGCAGAAGTTCACCAAAGACGGGGAATTCATCGCGCAGTTTGGCGGCTTCGGTGATGGCGACGGTGAGTTCAGCGCACCTTGGGGCGTCGCCTGCGACGACGATAGCAATGTGTATGTCGCCGATCACAAGAACCACCGAGTGCAGAAGTTCGACACGGGCGGCGAGTTCGTCATGTCGTTCGGCAGCTACGGCAGGGGCAGAGGGCAGCTCAACCGCCCCAGCGCTGTCGCGGTTGACCCCGATGGCGATGTGTATGTCTGCGACTGGGGCAACAACCGAGTGCAGGTTTACGCGCCTGACGGTAGCTTCATTGCAAGCCTCGTCGGAGACGCGCAGCAGCTTGCGAAGTGGCACCAGGAGCAGGTGGACGCCAACATTGACGTCATCAAGGCTCGCCGCCGCGTCTCTACCCTGGAGCCTGAGTGGCGCTTCGCAATGCCCACCGGCATTACATTCGACAGGGCGAAATCTCGCCTACTGGTCACAGACACACAGCGCGGACGCATCCAGATCTACAGCAAGGTGCGCGGCTACATGGAGGCGCAGTTCAACCTATAAGCGTCGAAACCAAGGAAGGCGACCATAGACCTGTGGCGGAACGAAACCGCTTATGGTCTATGGTCGTCGTGGTCATTGTGAAAGGAGGAACCATAGACGAATAGACAAAACAGATCGCTGAGATCGCCGGTGACACCGGTAAGCGTGGGTCCCTTGGGCATATAGATACTACTAGGGGGACGAAAGTGCTTACAACCATAGCAGCAGGTCGCGTTTTTGATTTCAGCCATGCGGTGGGAGGCTTGGAGATGCCTCAGCCCATCGCTTCTGCCTGCGCCGCAGGCGACAAAGTTTACGTGCTTAACCGTCAGTTTGAAGAAGTTCTCGATGTGCCCTGGAACAAGGCGGCACTCTACGCGGAAGTCTGTTCGTTCATTATGCCGACTACGCCCGGCGCTGAAGTGTACCTTGGCACATTCAGCAAGTACGGTGATGGCGACGGCGAATTGATTTGGCCGGTTGGCATCGCAATCGATTCCGATGAGAACATCTACATTGCTGACGAATGGATGAATCGAATCTCCATATTCACCAATTCGGGCCACTTCCTGAGAAATTGGAGTACGCAAGGAGACGGCGAGGTCAACCGGACTTCAGGCATTGCCCTTGACCTCAACGATGATGTATATGTCGTGGACAGCCTGAACCACCGTGTCCGGAAGTTCACGAAGGATGGCGGGTACATCTTGCAGTTCGGGAGCTTCGGCGACGGGCCTGGCGAGCTAAACGCTCCGTGGGGCGTAGCCGTCGATGACGAAGGCAGCGTGTATGTCGCCGACCACAAGAATCACCGCGTGCAGAAGTTCGATGCTAATGGTGAGTTCGTCGCATCCTTTGGCAGTTACGGCAAGGGCAAGGGGCAACTTAACCGCCCCAGCGATGTCGCGGTTGACCCCGATGGTGATGTGTATGTCTGCGACTGGGGCAATGACCGCGTGCAAGTCTTCGCTTCCGACGGCAGGTTTATCGCCAGCTTCATCGGGGACGCGCAGCAACTCTCTAAAGGACACCAGCAGCAGGTGGA